ATTGCAGTGACTCATTTAAACTTGATTGGTAGAAGTGGACACCATTGCCATGCTCCTCCATGTTTCAGTGCTCTAAATCAGCCCAAGCAGCAGGTGACATTCTCCGAATGCCTCCTTGGCGAAACTTTGGTAGATCAGAATGGCTAAATGTATACACTCCTCAGTTATTGTCTCTTCGTCTATTCCTGGTTCAGGGCAGTTGTCTGGGTGGGCCAGGACAGAAACAATACCAACTGTTGCAGACTAACTGAAGGACAGGCTCTATCACCATTAAGCCTCGAGCCGGCAGGTGTAAAGGGCAACCGGTTGAGAGCACACGGCGGAAAAACCTAAACCAGCTTTTACAACTCCACGTATCGGGCTAAAGATTTGAGAAGGGATTTTAAAATCCAAACTAAACATTATTTCCATGAATCCTTGCATGTCATGAAGATCTGTTCACATCTATTGAAATGAATGAGAAAAAACGTAAACCGCCAAACTAGTGCAGGATTCTTGGGGTTGTCTTGGTGATAGGAACAAAACGTCTCACTTTGAGTTTTAGCATTCCATTAGCATTTGGCTAGCAGTCTTTTAAGGAGATTTTTCAGGACATTTAAAAAACAAAATACAATCTAAAATAGAATTAAGTATATTTTCTGCATTGCAGAAACATTTTTTTGGACCTAGGCACAAATTGAAAGTTAAAAAAAAATTGTTGAGATGAAATTATTGAGTGTTAATTCTTCAGCTGGAGGGCGCGGATTAGAGGTATGACTAACATTTCGGTTTTCTGGGAGCAAAGAGAGTTGTCGTAGGTCATTACAAAGCAATTTGTTGCCTGTTTCTAACCACATGGCTCAGGTGACTAGAAGCGTGGGAGTCGTCATGAGGACAGAAAGACGAGTTCAAACAAAGTTATGCATTGAAATAAGCTTCACAGGCGGCTCAGTGAAGCCATACTTTGAACTGTTTTTGCTAATTGATTTATTAGTTTGAAAAACAAATAAGCCAGGTTAAAAAAAAAAAAAAAAAAAAAAAAAAAAAAAAAACATTGGAGAATTCAAGATTGGGGAGAGGTTTAACTCTCGAAACACACACTCACAAACACATATGCAGGGTTTGGGTCAGAGGTCAAACGGCCCTGAACTCTCTCCCTTTAGGCTGAGGACATCAGAGGTCCCTCTGTGTGCTGCTCTCCATTTATTTTACCCATCATCCCTCATCAGGCCGGGACGACCCCGCGACCCTGCAGCTAGGGTTACCTGTCAGTTGACTGTCTATTCATGAGCACAGGGCTTGACGCTGCGTCAACATTTGTTCTGAGGGAAACGAGGGAGTAAGAAGAGGAGTTTGGTGCAGTGTGGTGATGACCAAAGCAACAAACAGAAAACTCAGATTGAGTTAGAAAGAGAAAAAAACGACTTTATATTAAAATTAATTAACGAAAATCTATCCTCCTTTTGTTTACATACTCAGAAGTAAAGATTTCAGGCAGTGCAGGGCCCCCGACTAGCAGGCTTTCTACTCTTATGACATGCAAGTGTTATAATTCCTGTTTACTTGGAGGCAAAGATCCAAAGGATCTCAGCAAACAGATGCCTGCATGGATACCTATTGAGGGGTACCTACAAAAACACACCAAAGGCCCCCCTGTGTGTGCTGTCAGCTATCAATCAGGGTGCCGTAAGTGGGATCCTTGAGTTGAGATGCTATCAGCGCTGCCCCGTATACACTCACACCACAGTTTCCCTTATCTCCGCTGAGATAACAGATCCCCTTCTAACAGCGAGAGGACTGAACCAGACATACTTGCCTTCTGCATCTCTCTCTCCATCTCCCTCTCCCTCTCTGTCTCAGCTGTGCTACAGGCCACTTCATTTCAGACAGGGGCCCTCAGAAGAAAAAAAAAAAGTCAATTTGCTCTGGTTCCTGTTCAAAATTCAATAAGCTTGTCTCTTATATTGCAACCGTGTGGTGCTTGCGGAGGCTGCAGAGGGCGCGTGCTACTTCTGATCCCAATCTCTGATGTTATCGGGCCCCAGAAGAAACATGATACATGTCTCGGTTGACGGATCTAGATGGGCATGAAATTGAACAAAAATCAGAAGCGTGACACATCAACAATTTCCTGCAACTGTACTTTTTCTTATTGTTTTGTAAACATTGCAGTTCCAGAAAAACTGAATTGTTTAAGGTTTACAGCTCCTGTTTTCGGGCAAAGAGAACAGAGGAGTCAGGGTTTTGCAACTAAGCAGCGCTGTATTTACATGCTATAGAAACGTGAATATACACTTGTGTGTAAAATCCCATTACTGGTCGGTTTGCATGGAGTACTGTGTGTTGACCACGTTGCGGTGTAGATATGTGAGGTCACTGCAGTTGTTTTTTCCTCGCTTCGAGGACAGCGAGCTGAGGAGATGATCCCGGACGGGCCCCGTTTTTCGGGCTTTCACCAGACCACAGCACGTTGGGCCTAATAACAAAAACAAGCATCCCGGTGTGGAGCTGGTCCCACAGTGTGAGGACCGTAATGAGGAACATGTGGAGCTGCCCAGACACACAGTCAGAGGAAACCCAATCCCTCACCCCCCCCCCCCCCCTTTTTTTCCCTCTCCCCCGTTCCTTCTCCCTTCCCCCCAGTTCTTTCTTTCTCAGTCTCCTTCACCTCACTCTCTACATTTTCTGTCGCTAAGTTTTAATCACTACATTTAAGTCTTAATGTTGGTGCAAAACTTAAAACACTTTCTCTCCGCAGTCCATGTAGAAATTACCTCTTTTTTCCTCTATTGTACCAGAACAAGCGACCAATTGTCAGCAGGAGAAATATACGGGCCTTGTTTTTACTCGATATACACCCTTGTAGCGGAGCCGCTCTCTGACTTGTTTTAGAGTCGGTAGCATATACAAACTGCTGGGTCATGCAATGCAAGACGGTCAGAAGGAAACATGGGAAGAAAGAGGTCTTTCTCCACCCATCAAGCCTAACAGGCGGTCTGGGAGTTCCTTTCATGTGCTGAATTCATCCTTAGCATCCACCTGGATCAATTAACTGTTTGCTTCAGTGCTCATCAGTCCCGCAGTGTGGATCCTGAGCTCGTTTAGTAGACAGCGGCTTATTGAGCGAAGCTCTGGCTTTGATTTTGTTGTCTTTTATCTTTGTGTAACACACATCAGGGCATGCAGATGTATTATTTCTGTCTGGGCATTTTCTCATCCTCAGCTGAGACAAATTGAAAGTAAACACTGTGTTTTCTTCTGCAGGAGATGTCACCTCTCGCTCCCGAGGAGAAACGGTCTAACAGGTGAGACGCTCGTTTTTTTCAACAGATCATGCCTCCTACGCTGCGTCATTGCCCACGTGTCAAAGTTGTCACAGGGAATATGAAGTGTAACCTGCTTGATGGGATTTAAAATGTGACCATAAAGTGCAGCCATAAAGCAGATTAACCAACCAAGCCTCCAAAATTAGCTGAACAAACAGAGTAAGGTAGAGCCCTCCGGGAGGATAAACTTGGCACACTGGATCCAGTGTGACAGAGGCCCTTCTGGCAGCTCAGAACAATCCAAACGTTCCACTTGGGTTGAGCTGTCTTCGTTTCCCCCTCCACTATATACATCAGCCCCACATCAACATGGGCCTGTGAAGACCTTTCACGAGACTGACAGGCCACCTGAATCACACAATTGTGTGGCCGGAGGAGCCTGCATGTGTATAGAAAAACCAGTGATCCAATAACTGTCTGGGTTCACTTCTCTCTCATATAGTCAGGAGAGAGGCGCAGAGGGAGACCCACAGCTACAAGCCAAATGTTCCAGCTGCACCAAAACAAAGCTTTAACTTTTCATTCCAGTTCTAGAAAATACGCAAACTGTGACTGTTGATTTTCTTTATACAGTATCTGGGTCGGTGCATTACATCTCTTTATTTGCATGGCACATAAAACCACAGAGTGTGTCTCAGGGAAGTAAAAAAAAAAAGCCGGTCAGTGTGTGTGTGCGCCTTGCAGATGGTCCGGCCTCACAGCAGCTGTGCAAATGAAAGACAAGAGTGCCGTTGAAGGAGGTGCGAGAGATGGAAAGTTGGCCACAAAAAGGAAAAAAGAGGAACATGCAAGTTTCTAACTGAAAATGCAATGGAAAAATTAAATGCTCACTGAGATTTTTTTGCTGAGAGAAAATAATTGAGTATTTTCTGACGTGACAAAAACACACAATGCCCCATGAGTTTCAACAGGTTTGAACCCCACTTTGTATAACCAAACAAAATGACAAAAGAAGGGATTTATTGACCTTAAATATCACATCTAATCAGTGTAATGGAGGAAATCATATAATATACGATACCACTATACTTCTCCTTAGCCTAAATCATTACTTTATAATTAGTCCATCACCGTTATCAGGTTCTAGATTCAAAATATACTAAGCAAGGTAAAATCTGTTAGTTTGCACACACAATTGTCAATCAAACTCTATTATTGAAACGCTAAATGTGGAGTGAGAAAACAACAGGTGGGAGCATCCTGCTTAATGCCGAAAACACACTCACATTTGTCCCCTGGAGGAGGGCGAGTCAGAGGGGACAGTTGTCCCTCAGTGCTTTGTAGTACAAACATTCTACCAGTCTGTTTCAGCTCTCCATAAAAGCAGCTTTAGAACTTGTCCCATCCGACTGTGCCGAGTAACTCCAAGTTGTAACTCCAACCGTAGCATTGTGCATGTCCAGGTAATAGGGGATTGTTATACTATTATAAACCACAACACCTTGTGATTCTTCAATTATAAATCAGGGCAATTATAACTTCACACCGCCCCCCTCTGCTGTTGAAGGCACTTTTTTTCCGACTGTCCTTAATCCCAGTAATTGCCACTACATGTAAATATCGAGCGGTTAGTGAATAATTAGTATTTCATTGGCCAGCAATCACCTCTGGGGCCCCCGCCGTCTACGCGTTTAGACCCCTCCCTCGTAAGAGCCAGCCCTGAAGACAGGGGCCCCCTTTTTGAATGACAGCGCTTTGGGAAGGAAGACGAATTTTTGTCCGATTTTCCCCGCAGCCGCAGCGTCGATGAGAAGCAGTCGAGGAACTCCATTCTAACTGAATGGATTGGTATGGGGAGAAGCGGACCACAGATCACGGCTAAGCGGCAGCTTTTGGACTGTGTAACGTTGACGATGGTTTTACTTTCTCTGCTGTTTCGACCAGGTAAGTGTTGCCTTTTTCTTTTCTTTTTTCCAATCCGTGCTTGTCCACTCCTCTCCGGCACGCGAAGCGGTGTGTCCCCGCTCTCCTCCGCAATAGAGGTGGGGAAACAAAGTTTTCCCTGTTTAGCTGTGTGGCTGAACTCAAACTCTTTTAGCGGCTCCGACATTTAACACATCGCAACTTAAGTTTTGCGTGTTTGTCTGGTGTTTAAAGATGGTTGTTTTGAAAAGTATCCCGTACAAAGTAATAATGTCCTGTTGGATCTCAGCCTCCAGACAACACCAGCACGAGTTAACCCACTTAACGGACGTATTTTTAAACATATTTCCAACCATTCTCGCATAAAACAACGACACCAAACACGTTGTCACCAACCGCTTAACGGCTAATACGTTTGACAAAAAACACAAGTGTCGCTGTTGCCATTGTTTCTTATCGAGTCGTGTGAAGTTACAGGTTAGCTCTACGTTAGCATAGCTCGCTAGCAAACCGGGGTCCCGCAACCCGCAGTCTAAACGAGAAGGGAAACTACGGAGCGTGTTGTTTTTTAACCCGAAAATGCCGTTACTAGGACAACTAACGGTCACGTTTACTATTAAAGTCCTGAGTGTAACTTAAACGCTTAGTTTAGACTGTTTTAGTTGTTGGTGAAACCGAGGGAACCATGTTATTTCACCCTATTCATGCTTCACTTATTAACTTTGTTAGCTACCAAGCATGGGGGTCCAACTTTTTGGCCTTTGAACGTGTCGCTCCTCGGTCCCTGAACAAATCGGTAAAACTATTCTTTGGACAGTGATGCCTGTATACTATATATTTTTTGTTGAAATGAGAAAGTCAACAGACAATCACTTTCAATGTGGGCATTCATAACATTCAAATTATTACTATTATTTTGATATGTAAATGTTAATCTTTCAAGATCACATGAAAGATGTCATACGTTTAACATCTTCAAATGATTGATTTTGACCTAATGTTCTTTATTCAGACATGACAACTGCAAATCTTGTCTTCATATACATATTAAATACTGACAAAACAAAACAAAGATACACAATAATGAATAATTGTGCAGCACCACATCTAAAGACCCCTGGAGGCCCCTCAGGTTCAACTTTATGGTGCAAAAAATTTGTTGCTGTCAGACTTTGGGTAGAGTAATGCAGGTCCTTTAAATAGGTAATATTCATTAAAAGTTAGATTATTAACATGGTGTCAAAGTGTAGTCACTATGGTATATAGGTGATTAAAAATAGTATTTAATACCATCAAGTGTTTTCAGCCTTTATTGTGTAACTATGAGCTGGCTCTGGGTCCATTCAGGCACTCGGTGTGGCTATGTTGGTGAAAATGTTGATTCTCGTTAGTGTGAAATAAAGAAGACGTTAAAGCCATTAGAAAACACCTTTCTAATGGCCGTCCTTTATCTCCAGGGTTTCCTTAAATCGACTAATCTCCACTGATACAAATACTGTGTGCTTGTTCCTTTTCTGCTCTCATATTCCCCTCATGGTCCTCACACTTGTTGGTAGTCTACTAAGTGCCGGAGCATAAAGACCCTTTGGGGAGATGCCCACTTGTTGATGGCCGTGCAGGCAGTGATTGTCCAAAAGTGTCAATCACAGCAGACTTAAGGGTGACCTCACAGCGAGGCGGGGGAGGCCTGTTGGAATTCAGAGGAGGGATGCAGGATGCCTCCAACTTGACCTCTCACACTCCATCGCAGTTTTATTTTCTTTATATCAGAGCTCGTGTTGAAGTGCAGCGGCTGTGAGATGCATTAATCATCCGTCCTGCCCCCCCCCCTTCAGTGAATCAGACGTATGAGAAAAGGAAGAAACTGCAAAAATATTCATGTGCACTGGTGTGAAATCACAGCGCTTATCTTGTTGTCTTTGTCCACGCTGTTGGGAGATTAGATGGAGCCTCGGAGTAAACAGAAGATTATTCTGTTGCAATAGAGGAGCGGTCTGTTGCAACGGATCCCTGTTTTTGCAGCAAAAGTGGTGTATTGTGATGTGGATGCTGCTGAAATGGAAAATATATCAACAATACAGCACGAGTTATTATATCCCAGTCAGCATACGAGACATCCCTCCCAAACGTAACACTACAGTGAAATGAGTGTGATTAACATCCACACTTTTCCCACAGACATAACTGACGGTTTTGTTTTTCTTGATAAGATATATCTCACTTGTGAGTCGTAACTTAACAAGAAGCCCAGAATTTAGGCGAAACCTCCCAAATATCACATGCTGTGCTTTACAGCCCCCACCATCGTCCCTCTAGCGTCCAGTTTGGGCCCAGAGTTGCTGAACAAGTGTGACTTTTTGAGATGTTCCTCTTGAGGAAGTTAGCTGCCCCCGTGTGCCCCGGACCCTGCCGTGCAGCTTAATGGACTTCAATTACCCCGGCAACAGCCAAACCACATTAAAACACCCTCAGGCAAACTAACACAGGTTGGTTTCCTCCTACGGCGAGGCTACATGCGATTGCTGTGAGGGCTAGTTGGGGGAAATAAGATTGGACTGACTCGGGGGGGCTCGGTGTGGGATCATGGCCTCGTGAGCTCACACGTTTTTGGTTTTAATGGCTCTCTTGATTGAGCTAAACTTGATAGTGGAAACTTTTGGACTGTGCTGAGGTAATGCATCCGTAAACGTCAGATGGATTTCTTTGTTCACATTGGTAGATCTAGTCAGCAGTATTAGTCAGAGAGGGAGGTTACTCATGAAAATGGGTGGAGAAGCAAACCTTTTCACGGTTATTTGATGCATTAATGACGTTGCAGTGCAAAATATTGATGCTCATTTGTGTTTTTTTCGTTTTCCAGCTCACTGCCAGCAGTGTCGAATCCAGCGCTGCAACGCGGATTATGTGTCCTCCACCTCGCCCTCTAGTGGTCTGCAGGATGACGTGGCTCTAGATGTGGACTACTGCATTGCCTTGCGGGCCTACGCTCAGTGCACCCGGCGGCAGGCGCGCAGCTGCAGGGGTGACCTGGTCTACCACTCGGCCGTCTTCCGCATTAAGGAGCTATTCTCTCAGCACAACTGCTCCAGCGACGGGCCCACCTCCTCCGCCAAGGTCCCCAGTACGCCTCGCCCGGCCGTGTCGGAGCTGTGCGACTACGAGAACCGGGTCCTCATGTCGGGCTCAGCCGGGCAGAAGAAATACGCCCACTGTGGATTATTCGGAGACCCGCACCTACGGACTTTCCGCGACGAGTTTCAGACCTGCAAGGTGGAAGGGGCGTGGCCTCTGATTGACAACCGCTTCCTGTCGGTGCAGGTGACCAACGTGCCCGTTGTGCTCGGCTCCAGCGCCACCGCGACCAGCAAGGTGAGGATGGCTGTAGAGCAGAGCTGCTACTTTACGAAGCCACACATAGTTTGATCACCGATTAATCGTTTCAGTGTCTTTTTTTTCAAGCAAAAATGCCAAATAGTCCCTTGGATCACATTCTAATATTGATATGTGACAGTAAAGAATAAATGTTGAGCGTTCCAACAAGCAAAGTTGTGGGCTTTACGAAATGTTTAAACTATCGTGACAGATAGTTGCAGCCGTAGTTTAAAATTCCAAAGCTTAAAAAGTTTGGCAAAAATAAAATCAGAGCCTTTGAGGGCGAGTAGTTCTTTTCTAGCGTCCACGACAATATTAGAAACGCTGATTATAGTAAGATTATAGCAGGCTGTTTCTTTTGAGTGCTTGCTAGCTCGAGTATTGCCATAAAGCATCAACATGTGAAGTTAATAGTCATTCCACGGTGCCTCTCGAGCTTCCAGCATTCCTCTTGTCTTGGAGCTCCTTCAGATCTCTGAGGGGAAAGCGAGAGGAGGGGAGTCTTCAGCGGTGTTGAATCACAGACATGCTTGAGCGCTCTACCTTTTAACACATGGGTGGTCATATGGTAGTGATCAACGCTCACTCAAACATTTTCCTCCACCGCCACGATCGGGAATGTTTTTTCACCCCTCTGGTCAAATAATTAACTGTGTGCCTTTTTGTGTAAATATGGAATAATGTGGAAAAATAAAGGAATAATTGGACAGCAGCGAGGGCTTTTGATTCTGTTAATGAAATAGGCTGGGGTTGTCATGCTTTTAAATTGTTGAAACCTTCATCATGTCTTTGTTACTTAAAGTCACATTGGTATATGGGACTCAGCACGCACAGATATTGTCCATTAAAAGAGGTTTAGAGAGCTGCTTTTATTTGAATCATAGGCTTAAATAGTCATCGACTCCCACGTTAACTCCACAATAAACTAAAATATTGCACTAGGGATTTCAGAATGAACTCATCAAAGGCATTTTAAAGTGTATTTTGGGTTTGCCGCCTAATGCAAACCTGTAGTCGGCCAAGTCTGTGCCGGCACCCGCATGCCCCCATCATGATTTCGGAGTTGTTTGCAGCTGCCAGACTTGAGACAGGAAATCATCCATCAAACACTGTATCCCCGTAAGTGTAAACGTAACCACAGCCACCGCTTTGTCAAGATACTTTGAAGAAACACAGGTTAGGTCCCAATTTTTCAAAGCTCAGCCGGAATACAAATCGCAGTCAGTCACTCTACCAGTGTTGGAAGATGCATGGCGATTTGAGGCTGTTATGAAACCGTGTTGTTTGAGCCAACATTCAGGGAGGACTAGTGGAGTTATTGCCTTTTAGTTTTCGTGTCAGTATTTTTTTTTCCAGGTAAGAAAGGAAATGGTGAGGACCACACAATGACTGTGGTTTATTTGAGCAGTTTCTCTTTGTGGGTGGTAACAATCCAGTGGACCACTGACAGCAATCACTGTCACTCTGTAAAAAGGCCAGTGTGGGCCATCATCACCTTCCACAGCAGTCAGCATGTTTGGTTTCCTGCTGCCACCGTGTGGCTTTGAGTGGTACTGCTCTTATTCCAGACTAATTAGGGCATACTTTTATAATGCTCGTCATTGCATTTAAGCAAAGTCCTGCATTTAAGGAGCAATAGTCAAACTATAACATGAAATAAAAAGAATAGTGCTGATCTTTTCTTTCTTCTCTTTTTTCAGATCACTGTGATCTTCAAGTCCTTCCACGGCTGCACGGATCAGAAGGTGTACCAGGCCACCACAGATGATCTGCCGATGGCCTTCCAGGACGGGACTCGCAGCGGCGGCGAGAGCCTGACCATCGCGGAGCGCGGCGGCTCTGGAGTGAGCCGCCAGGTGAAGATACAGGCCCGTTACATCGGCACGTCCATCATCGTCCGGCGCGTGGGCAGCTACCTGACCTTCGCCATCCGCATGCCAGAGGACACCCTGGACTTTTCGGACAACGGCGGTCTGCAGCTGTGCCTGCACGGCTGCCCACGCAACGAGCTCATTAAGGAGCACACGCTGGGCCGCCAGAGCCAGGAGCCCCGCCTGCAGGGCACCAACACGGAGCTGGGTCCTCTGCGGCCTCCTCACCAGGTCTACACGGTGGAGCGGGCCACGGCCAAGTGTAGGGAGACACTGCAGGTGGAGGACGTGTACTTTCAGTCCTGCGTGTTTGACTTGCTGACCACGGGGGACCCCGAGTTCTCCATGGCGGCCTTCGGCGCTCTGGAGGATTTAAAGGCGCTGCCGCCGAGCAAACTGAGGCAGAACTCCCCGAGGACTCCTCGTCTTTACAACCGAGCAGCGTCGCACATGGTGGCTGCAGCAGCCAACGGCTCCCTGCTCTCACTCCTGCTCCTCAGTCTGCTGCTTTTGTAAAAAAAAAAAAAAAAAAATATATATATATATATAAATGATTTAAAAAAACAAACAAAAGAGAAACCTGGAGACAAACAGAACGTGGAAGCATTACCAGCTTGAGGAAAGAGTGAGTAGAGCTCAGACATATATATATGTAATTTCTTTGTTTGGGGGGGGGGGGTTGGGCAATTTGTGAATGTTGTCATTTGAAGGATTTCACACTCATTAAATATGTTGGTTTTTTCCCACTTCACATTTCCCGTGGGATCCATGAGTGACATCAGTTGAAATGCATGAACTGAGGTTTGGGGTCCAGCTCATCATGTTTCCACATGCTCACTGTTAATCGGTTCACGGCAGCTAAACGGCATTGAGTTGTTTTGGTTTTTTTGTAAATAGAAGAGTCGTCATCGTGCACAACCTTCAAACACTCCACCGCGCATGAAGCTGCACATGTATCTCCGTACTGTATGTAAGCAGCGTGGCTCCTAGATCCTGTATAATCCAGTATTATCAATAGCATGCAACGGTTTTAACAGAAAGTTTTGTGTGCTCAGATGTCATTTCTTTGTCGATTTCAACAGTTCATTTCAGAAACCTGGTACGATAAATACACAGGATCCAACAACTGTATGTAAAAAACTACCTATCCATAACATATGGCGTGTCAGTGTGATATTCAACAGTCCTCTGCTGTGAAACACTCCCTCTTCAAGCTGTTTGGCTTCCAGTTTTAAAAAAAACACAAATCTTTATATAATAATATATTAAAAGAGTGTATATATGTGTTTTATATAGTGTACATTTGCTTGTGTATAGATGTTTTAACTGTAATGTGTTTTACATTTGTTGTGTTTTTAGTAGGTTATTTTGAGACATTGTAACTAATATGCGTTTTCTGTATTAAAGTGTTGGACACTCCGGACTAAGGCCTGTTTCTTCTTCTTCTTCTTCTTGGTCACTCTTGTACCTGGTATCTTAGACAGAGAACAGAGATTCATTCCATCACATCAGGGTAAATTATTGTGTACAGATGTTGTCCATCAGCTTTCATTGTCCCTTTTTAAACCAGGGTTACGAACCTTTTAAATCAAAAACACATTTACTGTTTCTGGTTCAAGACGCAACACATAAGATGACACGCAAAACACAAAACGCTTTCAAGAACTCAGTGTTTCACAACTGTATGCGTGTAATACCCCCCGTGTCCTGGTGGGGTCCTCAGCCCATAAGGCCTGACAGCTTGTAGTTCACAGACAGCTTTGACAAGCTGGTTGTGTAGCTGTAGGGATCCACAGTATGTTCTCAGTCCCCTGTGTAAATGTTACCTCTGAGTGCTGAGCTGGCTGCTGGCTTTGCTTTTGTCTGCCAGAGCGCTGCATGGCTCCAAATAGGATTTAGTCTGTGGTTTAACACCAGGTTAGAGTCAACACACACACGCGGCTGATATTTGCACTAAACGTGAACAATGAGTGCTGTGATTGGGAAAGAGGGATGTGATCGGTTTTTTATCATCGCCATCAAAAATGCAATTAGGAAAGCTCCGGCACACTCCTTATGAAGACATTACGAATGAATGCGCTATAATTAGCAAATGTGGTTTTAATTCATATCTTGAATTAAGTTTAAAGTGTCTTGGTCCTTTTACAACTCTCGAGCGTCACACTTGCAATCATACTTTATCTCTCCGTGTCTTCAAATTCAGACGACGGTGAGCAGACAGCTGGCCAATGAAACATGCCACCATTTCTGCCTATTACATCCTAGATCTGTCTTCTTTGTGTGACATCACCTCATCGTCCCATCCTTAATATTAGGAGCACAATAGAGGGTTGATTGGTGGTAAGAACCTGTTATAGTCGTATCTCGTCTTGGGGAGGCAGACAGTGGTGGAACGTAACCAAGTACATGTACTTAATGCGAGTCTTTCCATTTTATGCAACTTTCTACTTTTACTCCATTACATTTCAGTGGCAAATATACTTTTTACTCCACAAGTATTTTTCGGCAGAGGTAGAAAGCGTACTAGAACGTTGTACTAAAAGTACTTTTACATTAAACACATGTTACTCAAACAATAGTATTTGTGTAAAAATGTACTTAAGCAAAAAGTAGGTCAGTTAAAAATGTACTGGAGTAAATGTTACTGCCAGCCTTAATGCCTCCGATTATGAAATCCTCTTGGGCTTATCCAACAGAGGTTGTAGTACTACAGGCCACCAATCCCAGCTGTGGAGACATTGATGTAGTACTCTCTCTCTGTAGGACACTTATTTACGTTATTCCTAAAACCATGAGGTTTTATTGTGCTTTTGGATAACGTCTTGAAATACTGTTAAACCAAAGAGTATAGGCTGCAAATTAAATGTCCAGTAGAACAACACCAGCAGCAACAAGACACCTTCTATCCAAACCCACAAATGGACACTCTGCTGTCTGTGCTTACAACCGATTATCAATTATATTTACAACCGCTGTCCTCGTGGAGCCTCACAAGAAGCGACCAGAAAAGAGACGACACGCGCACAACTAAAAAAACATGATCAAGTATTTAAAAAACATCACCAAAGCAGAAAACGTGTAAACAATATAAACTCCATAGCGTCCATTAACAAAAAAAAAAAAACCTTATTACATCAAAGAATGAGACGGCTCAAATTTCTACACGCACACGCGTGGCACGAACACTTCGTTGCTAGGCAACGCCGCTGCCGCAAAGAAGCGTTCCGTTGACGTTCTTTCTCATCTGGAGAGTTCACGCAGCTGCGCGTGTCGTCGTACTCACCTGTACGAGCGGCACCGCGAAGTCCTCCTCCTCCACAAACTGATCCGGGTTCACCTTCTCTCTACTCGCTCGTCCCTCAGCCATGATATGAACGGTACACACGGGCTGTGTGTCACAGTATAACCGGTCCACTCGACCGTCTCGGTCCCAGTACAACCAGTCCTGCACGAGCATCGTGGGTGTGTCAGTTCACGTGCCCTGCCAGTTGACGCCAATTAGTCATTACTGATGCAACTTTTCTCTTTTCTTTATGCCGATTTAAGATAATGCTAATTACAACCACACATAATTTATGGGGTAATTTTGTTTGGATAGTGCTTGAAGTGGAAGCGGCACGTGAGCACGCAAACATTTATAAGGCGTTATTTCCGGGGTGTCTCCTCTCGCGAGCTCCGCGCTCCTGCGGCCGCAGACACACCTGCAGCTTCTTGATTGATCACTTTTCATCTGACGCTTCTGTTCCACTCCCACACTGCTTATCAGGACTTTTTCATGTGACTTTTTGCTTTTATGTGTGCGACTTGAAATGTAGCGAAGTACAATACTTGTGAGAAATAGCCAAGCAAAAGTAAAATTAGCATTTTTTTAAGTTCACGAAAATGACTTCGTTACAGTAACGAGTAAATGTAATGTAATGTACTTCCACCCCTGAATTACATTATTTTTGATAATTTGATCAAATTCAAAACAATTTTTAAAAGTCCAATCAGTGGTTCCCAAACTTTGTAAACCCTTTCTAAAAAATAAAAGTGTCAGTGTCTTGTTGATGGGGATCCTGTCGCGGGTAAAATTATGCAACGTCTTTTCCTCCTTTCCTCCCATTAATCATCTTAGAGGCGTCACATTTATCTTGCGAGCTGTATATAAAGGGGATTAAAACTAGTTCCACATCAAGCAGCTACAGCAGTAAAATGCAGCTTACACCTTGTTGCATCAGAGCTAACGATCTATTAATGTCATATAAATAAAGCAGTCACAAAACCTTTGCCGACAACAATGCTGTACTTTTACTTACATCGGTATTTGAATGCAGGGCTTTTACATATAATGTAGTATTTTTAGTAAATAAAAGATTTGAATACTTCTTCCACCACCTCGCCATCTTTTATCTAAATACATAACTCTAAATGTTGTCCACTGAGCTGATGGCAACTATGTAAACTATGTGTCTGTGTGTGTGTGTGTGTGTGTGTCCTTCCATGTTCTTAATAATTTAAAAGCAAAGCTAAAAAGCTTCGCGCCTGGTCCCGATCTGTTGAGATGCAGCCATCTTGACAGCAGCCTTATATAACTGCGCCCTCAGTCTGTTGAAAGAAGGTGAGATTCTTGACTTCTCAACATGCAAACTCCTCTTTTTTTTTCATTAGAAGACTGGAAAAGTCTAATCTAGCAGCACGGCGGATGTATACACAGGCTCATGCCTGCGTAGATTTCTTGTCCGGCCACTTTGAGCCATATACTATCTTGACTTTCCCCTGTAAACAAGGACAATTACCAAACTAATGAGTTGAGGAAAAAAAGAAAAAACTGCATGAGTGATTGATACTCCCAATGGGGAAATTAATTTGATATTAATAGAGCACTTGGCAAGATAAATATATAGTGGTGTGTGAGTCCTCTCCTTGATTGACAATGGATAGATTGATGGCTGTCTTAATGCAAGATGTTCCTTAGACTTTAATGAGGTGGCCTTGATGAGGAGGAGCGTTAGCGCAATATGGCGCTTCAAATTACGTCGACGTTGATATTTAAAGTTGCAATGTTGAAAGTGTTCATTGAAATAAATGTCTGTTAAGTCACCATCAATCGCTGAAGCAGGTAACATAATGAAAGTATTGCAATATTTATATATTTGCAGTATTACGAACTGGGTGTCTGGGGCGACAATCATGTAAATGAATGCTGTATTGCAGTTTTTTTTGATTGAATACCAAAAAAATGGAACTATGCACACAAATCTGAAAAATAGCACGTCAGTTTGGAAATTTCAGACCAAGCCCAATACTCCAGACTGCTAAACCTTAAGCACAAGTCCTTTATTTTCACTGAAATATTAATTATATATCAACCAGGACTGAAATCTGAAGGATTGCCACTTTAAGGTGCCACACCTGCAGTTAGAGAGGGAGGCCTCAGATACATATTACATAACAACAGATCATGCAGCGAATGAGTGATAAAACACATCTTTTGAAGAAACAACAAAAAACGTTGCATTTTGTCAGTTTGAACTCGATTTATTGAAGCTATGTGATGTTGGTCAGCCATAGCTGTAACCTCATTCAGCTTGTGAGATTGCGTTTGTCTTCAGTTTCATACATCCCTCCTCAAATGATCACCTTACATCATTCCTGCAGCTCCCGATGAATCGTAAGCCCCCCCCCCCCCCCCACCCAAGTAACCTCCTCTTGCTGAAGCATTTTGCTTAATGATGCACTCAGAGTCTTATTGTTGCACCGAGTAGAAGACGTTCAACATACACATACATTACACCCGGTTACATGGGTCACTGCTGCAGAACAAAGAGTGAGAAGTTACTCATTTCTCAGTGTGTGTGTGTGTGTTTGTGGTTTTCAGGCTGCTGTAGTCACAGCGATTATACAGCTATCTCATACCGCAGGCTCTCTCATACCTGACCAACTCAATCTCTCTGTCTCCTCAATAATCAGAGTGACAGCGAGCAACTAGACATATCTCACCCACTGGCTCACTCCAGAATGGGTATTGACCTACATATCAAATCATACGCTCCTGGCTTGTGTGATAGAGGTTGGGGGGGTAATGATTGGCAGTCCTACTTCAGTAAACACATTGCATTCCCTGGGTTCCTGGGTTCTTCATATGTATTCCCTCTTAAAAAGGTAAAATACCAACGCCCCTGCATCTCCTACAAGCTACAGGACCTCCTGCCACTTCAGCAGTGTTCCCCCCGCTACTGTAACAGTAGAGAACAGCTGAGAGCACCTGGTTGTCTGCATGTGTATTTATATTAACGAGCCTGTGTCACCAAACTTTTAACAAATGGCCCCCCACCCCCAGCACCCTGACGCCCCGAAAAAACCCAGCTCGGAAATTAAGCATCTGCATCATAAATCTTGTAAAGTTACAATAATTTGCAATTCACTCCCTCATCAAAGGCAATATTACCCTAATTTATTATCTCCCCGCACGAGGGGCGCGCAAAGGCCGTGCAGATAAGAGTTTATCAGGAGGGGGATTGATTTTCATTAACTGATTGTAATAAAGATGAACTGCCTGCCGTGCACACTGACCAAGAGCCACACTTTATTGTAATTGGGACAATTTATTTCATGAGCCAGTGGCTCTACTTTTTTTTCTTTTGTTCCTCCCACTCTTATTTCCCCCCATATCTGTTGCCGCTATTCAAAATGTGAATGTCTCAGCTGCACTGCTCTTGATGCTGCTGTGACTTGTGATGTAAGGAGATGATGATTACAAAGTGCGCGTGGTGAGGCAAGTCAACAGATGTTCTTCTGTCACCAAAGCAACGCTGTAGTTTGTGACGCACACTTGACTGATACTCGACGGCTTCCTTATTTCAATTTGCTGCCTCCCGCTTGTCAAAATGATAATGCTATTTGTTCCCCTGTCTGATGTTTATGTGCCGCAGTTTTCTTTGTTGCATTCTGCTCCCATCACATATGTCCTGACACATATTTCAGTGGGTGTCTCCCTGCGGCAGAGCAGCATCAGGTGACCTGCTAACTGGTAAAGCCTTCAGTCTCCTCAAAGACAGATAATCCAAATCACCCTACATGCTCCACCGCTGGGTGTCCATACGAGTATGAAATGAATACATTTCCTCTCCTGAAGCTCCCAGCGTCTCGTGATGAATACCAAAGTAGACTCCTGCCTGGTGTGAAAAATAAAATGTTTACGAAGCTGTGGATGTGCAACGATAACCCCGTCGATCCTCTAAAGGGCACCAACACCATCGTCACCGTTTCATCACTTGACACCGACGGGGCGTCAGCAGCAGACTCTGAGAGAGGTTGCAACATCTGCACTCGCACAACTTTCAAGGTCCTTGAGAGTAAATCCTCGTGCAACAACTCCCCCCTCTCTTTGCACTGCGGCTCAGCACTAAACAGAACTGTGAGAAGCAAAACGTCCTGTTTGAATTTTTATTGTAAAATTGGAAAAAAAGGAGAGAAAGAGAGAAAAGCCCCAATAAGCATTTCTTTTTGATACATATCTTTATCTTACCATAACCATAAAAGAAAAGAAACAAAAGAAAAGTGGCTGAATAAATAAATAAATAATAAATAAATAGATAAATAAATAAATAAACATCAAGTTACATACTTGACCCGATAATCAATTATAAAATGATTTAATCATCAATCATTAATATGAAGTAACCTAAGCAGCAAGTATTAAGAAATTTCAACAGGGGAAAAAATGTTTGGTTTCTCAGGCTAATACAGAACAGTTTTTTTCATAACTTTTTGTTTATAAAAAAGATACTGCTTTCCCGGTCAGTAAATCCATGCTGTACTGACACTGCCACAAAAACAGGTGGCGCTCTCCTTTAAAAAAAGAAGGAAAGAAAGAAAAACAATACAACCTGTAAGCTGCATTTTCTCCTCCAGGTTTAAAGAATAGTACTGAGATTCCTCTTTTTGCGCCCTGCATGTCAGTAAAGTCTTCTTCACAGACTCCATACTGCGGTTTATATGTTTTTGTATGCTTTGTGCTGAGAAACCAGAAAGTTAACATCTTTATAAAGCGACCCGCCCCCTCCCCCAACCCCTCCCCCATTTCAAACCCTAATCTATAATGTAACCAAAGAAAGGTCCTGTGCTGATTTTCCATAATATACAGATTTCATATTTATAATAAGCTACTATCCTTAGCATTCAAACCATAGTTAAAGAATCATATTGTTAATACTAGTAGTACCGTAATCTTTAACCCCCCCAGCCCCCATTGAGCATGCTCAGAGATCGAAAGGGCACCATGGTCGGATGAGAAATATTAAAAGAAGAAAGATAGAAATGGATGCAAGAGTGAAAACGATGTAGAAAATCATCTTTAGTTTAACCACATGCAGCTGAATTATAGCAGTACTGGGATCAGCTATTTCCTTTCTCTTTTAGTGGATTTCCAATCAGCTCTGGTAATTCAAAAATCTTAACTCAATTAACTTCTTGGATTTCAGTCGTTTCATTACATTCCCCCTTTTTTTTTTTTTTTCGAAATTTCATAGTGGAAATGTATATTTAGGCTTATGCACCAGAAACGGTCTCCATCCACAAACCTTCACTCTTTTAATTGCGTTCAATCAAATTTCATTTCTTTCTCTTGGCAGAATGAAATTAACTCAACATCTTTTCAAACTCATTAAATTTCAGCCACAGCTGGCATCTTTAATTTGCATTACCCAAGCTGTTGTGAAGGCCACATTTAATTTGATTTTAATAATTTAAAAAAACTCTCCAGTAGAAATCCCATAAGGAAAGATTTTTGAGTGGGTTTATAAGGCCCTGTATGGCCCGGGGTAAGGAGGGCATATATCACAGCTTCCTAAAGCTGCCCGGCGCTGACAGCAGAGAGGAAACTAACAGTAACTCACCAGGGGGAACAAAGCTGTCTTTTGGCAAATATATATGAAATCTAACCTTTTCACTGGAAAGCTCTATTGTATAAAATTACAACCTGACAGGAGCCTCCCTCCTACACTGTTATGCTATATCACAAAATCAAATACTTCTTCCCTACTGATCAATATTTCCTGAAAACGAACACATTTCTAAGAAGCAATCTTACATTTTCAAGGAATCTGGCACTCGTTTAAAGTCTGATGAGGAAATGCAGTGGATATGCTTGCATAATTTGGCAATTCATGATGAGAAAAGGCATTTCTTAAAGACTTTTTTTTTTTTTTTTTTTTAACGGCATCTAAGTATTGCCTGCAAGAGAACAATATACAGTGAATGAGGGTAGTAACATTTGTTGAATGGTCTCCTGGTCTACTGATCCTGTGGACCAGTAATCATACAAATAAAGAGAATAAAAATAAAAAGGTACAGTCAGCAGGACCTGGGGAGCCATCGTGGTGATGACATTTGTTGTACCGGGCTGCAGGGGCTTAGCAGTCGTGTTTTCTGAAGAATCCACGTGTGTGGATGGGGCCATAGAGACAGCGTCGTGATACGATGACTGAAGTTTAGGGAGATGATCAGAGCGCTGAGGTCTCACAGAGTCCTGAGTGGCAGGCTGCTTCAGTGCAAACTGAGCCAATGACCGACATGTTGGAAATAGTCTCAAACTGAAAGAGTTGGATGTTAGTTGAACAAATCAGAGAGTGAAATGGATAAAAAAAAGAGAAAAGGTGACTCATGAGAAACAGATTTCATCTTGGATGTACTGTATGCGTGTCCCTCTGTAAACAACAACAGGAAAGCATCCCCGGCGATGATGCTAGAGTAGTTAATTAATCATATCTGATACGGCGTGATGTGTCGTGACCACACTGTATAGGAGCCATGTGTGACCGGCGCTAATGGTAAGCTGTCGTCTCGTTGAAGCAGCAGCAGCTGTAGCGGCTACACTTACAGGCCTGCTGCTGTCTAATTGATGGATCATTTTGCTCTTAATTTGACCTCCTAAGGCTGGTAATGCCAGGCTGTTCCTCACCGCAGGCTCTCACTGTGCTAATACACCCATTGGAAAAAAAACAAAACTACACAGCTGCTCTTCACTGAAGAACTCCTACGACCTACTCCAAACTCTTTTTTTACACATCCTGTCGTAGCCTTGTGAACCTTTTTTTTTTTTTTTTAAATGTTAGCACTGATGACGTAGATTTCAGTGCCTTCGACGTGCCCCACAGGACACTGTCAGATTCGGGGGTCCCCTCTGAGACTGTGGGCGGTAGTTAGAAGACCACTGAGAGAAAAACGGACTCTGTCACTCAGTCAATTCCTTCAACATGCCAATCCGTAATTGATTGCGCATCTCTTGCCCCGTGGTGCTGCTCCCCATCTGATCAATATTATCATCATCCTAATTATGCTGTGGGTTAGCCCTCGGCCCCCGTGAACTGATGGTCCCTATTAGGAGAGAAATATGCTGGCACTTGGAGGTGAGGAGCGAGAAAATGAGGAAGGGGGGGGGGGGGTCTCCTCTCGCCTGCTGAGAGCAGCTGGAGGAGCTTGGCAGCTGGAGAGGGCACGACCCGGCAGGGACCACTGTGACATGCCGATGGAACTTTTTTTTTTACAACTGCTGTCAGGCTCATTTGTATATTTCATTAAGCAGTTACCATTGCTGTGCTGTTTTACTGCTGCGCATCCAGCTCAGCTGGGTGGCACTTTTACCACGGTGCTTTATGGTCAGATGATCTGCGATATCAAGGCTTTAATGAAGACGTGGAATTACCTCTCGCTTCGATTATGGAATTGCAGAGCAGCAGACGCGCGCGGTACATGGCTGCGCACAGTGTGGAGCAGCGAGAGGCTGTTATTGTGTCACTTACTTTTGGCACTACGGGACTTGTTTTTTTCTTCTTCTACTGACACAATAACACCGACGGATCACAACTCCGAGATGAAATGCTGTGACGCAGATGAAGCAATGAGTGGCAAAAGAAGATTATCTGAACATGCCCGAAACAATGTCTAACTTACATATTCTACGCCACTAAAATAGTATAGCTTTATACATATTTTTTTTCTGTTTTGTTTTAATATTCCTTAAACCCAGTAGCTATAAATGTAAAAGGAAAACAAACCGAAACCCATTTCCTCTTTTTTTTTTTTTTCAACCTGAAGCTAGTATTTCTTCTTACGTTTAACTTGTAATATTATTAGTAGTAGTTTGTAGTATTAGTATCATTAATACTATATATTACTGTTCAGAACAATAAAAATGTTTGGTCCTTTGGTCCCTTAGGGGTGAAAGATTTGCAGTTCTACTGTTGCTAATGGAAACCTCAGTGACCTCCAAGAGTCATAGTTCTGCGCTTGCTGAGAGAGACGTGAGAGAATAAGAGAAAGAGGGAAAGAGAAAGAAAGTCTGTCAGTGGACCAATAGAATAGCTTCTTTTTTTCCACTGTTTTTCTTGATCTTCAAGTTTTAACCCTCATTTGTCCAGTACAGTAAAAGCCACAAGCGCCTCTTCCCTTATATATATGTGTATATAATATGTATATAGAAATCTATTTGTTGTTGCTGCTTTTTTGTTTGTTAGTTTGTTGCTTAATTAACAATTCAAGTCTCAACAAGAAAAAGTTCTGTTGTTCAGTCTCATCACATCTTTTTTCAGTTTTTTTTTTTCTTCTTCTGGTCTTTCTTGCACTGTGCCATCTGTTACTGTTAAGTCCCCCGGTGAAGCGCCGCCTCCTCTTTCGCATCTTCTTTTTTTCCGCCATAACCTATATCTTCATAAGTAAATGCTGATATGTCTTCAAAAATTCCGTATGTGTTGATTTTTTTAAAACATATTTTGCTTTCAAAGAAAAAAAGTTGAACTCCTCCGAGATATCTTCACGTGTCCTCTAAAACCTGAAAGATAGAAGAAAGAAGGGCAATTTCAGATCTCACCGCTCATTAAGCTGTCATTCCAAAGATCCATTTCTTTAAACTTCGGATAGTCCAATACGGCTCTATTATATCGGTGAAATGGTCTGGAGAGAGCTAACCCACACGGGCACAGCAATCAATCTTTGTCAATCACCACGATGACAGATTCTCTCATAATGAATACGCCTGCTGCAAGGCATATGAAATCAAACCTTATGGTTTCTACATGTCTGCAGATACTGAAACTCTAGAAACATTAAATAATTCAGCTTTACATTCACTGAACATATTTAATACGTATCTGTCTGATAGATAAGCTCTTAAGTTCAGGCTATCCGAAGAAGTAGGGGGGGCCAACGTTTGGCCGTCAGCTCTGTCAACCAGAGTTACATCTTCATCTTCAACAGCAACACCATAGCGGATCTAAGTCCTGGACCGGTGACAGGGCTTTGACACTTTGCTGGCTCACCTGTGCTGCTGCAATGAATAGTGAAGGTAGGCTGTGTCAGTAAGGGCGGCTGGCATCCTTCGGTCTCTTTAGCTGGACTTTCAACCTCTTCATCCCAATCTGAAAGCCATTCATGGATTGAATAGCTGCCTGTGCACTTGCAGGGTTGTCGAAGCTCACGAAACCTGGGAAGAAGTACAAGTTCATCAGCCCTGTTGTGAATTAAGACACTTATGAGAGCCTGAACCAACATAACAATTTTAGTCAATATTTAGAGATGATATCTATTGCAAATGACTCGACTGTCCGGCATGTTGCTGAGGCAGGTAAATATTCAGTGCTCAGTAGTTGCAAACAGGCTTGAAAGATCATTTCCCCAGAGTTTAATGTGTACACAATGAACACCAGTGTGTTCAGGATTTTGACCAGCTGCTTCTTGTTGCATAACTTCTAATCAACTTTGAACAACAGCTAACACAACCCACCATTGTGGGACTCCAGATGCAACACGTGTTTGGGGTTTTATTGTCATAAAAGCATCACTGTTGTGATTGATAGTTTGTGTCTCAAACAGATGTTGTATCAGGCAGTTTTGTGATCGCTCAGGGAGGCATGTGAAGCCCCTTTCCCACTGGACAAAAGCCTCGCAAACATCTGCTAACATCTGGATTTCGTTTTTAGAGAAGAAGGTTACAATCGGCATTCCTTCCCAGGACAAATGACTTTGCAGTGGTCACTTTATCGGCTCCAGCTCTGATCGTCAGCGATGGAAACATGACAGCCGGATGAACACGCACATTTTTGCCGCTTTTCCGGCGCAATTCTATGCGACGCGTGTTTAATTAGTGTCATTTTACCTCGCTGATCATCGAAAACACACTTTATTCAAACGCTACAGAAACAAAATGAAACTCATCAAAACCTTCTTGGTTTTTCTTCCTGGAATATTTTGAAGGCTAAGAAAGAGAACTGCTGGCTTTGGAGGGATGGTTTGGGATGTAAAAATATGTAATTAATCACTTATCCCATTTAAATTGTTACTTTTGTAACTTTGTATTTTTGTAATCAGTATCATGATCAGTTCAATATAAACGATGTGTTTTTTAACCTTAATATATTTTCCAACATAACTTCTTGACCTCCCTGGAAAGCCCAAAAATACAAAAACATGAATGAGCACAAGTCCCTGTGCGAAGCAGTTTGACCAAAACAAGAGCAAAGATAGTTCATCATGGGGTGACAAGTCTGAATTTCCCCCAAGATAAGCCCGTCCTGAAACTTATGCTGAACATCCTGTTTTCATCATGTGTAAAAACAAAGCCTTGAGAAGTCAGTGAGCAGAAACTGCAGTGGAGTGTGTCTCCGCTTGATGCGCTCCCCCGTGTCTGTGGTGTCATCAGGAGCAGCCGATGACCCGTGAGGAACAGCAGGAGCCTCTCCACGTTCGCAGCCACCTGGGAGAGATGTCTTCCCGGCCTGCTCCGCTCTGGGTTTGGCCCATTAGGGCGAAAGGCTCGGGCGCCATGGGGGGAGGGCCGAGTGCAAGCCTGAAGAAAGTCTAGAGGAAGGGAAAGGAGGTGACCTCCTAACCCACCATCAGGTTAACACATTGGGGCTGGGAGCAGAGATGAGATGGAGAGGAGATGCAGGCTTAGACCTCTAAGCCCTCCGCTCAGTCCTGTCACACATTACAAGTGTGCTTTCTCTCTTCACTCTATGTTTCCTTGTCTTTTGCACACCATCAATCTATGTTTATCCCCTCTTTCTCCTCTCTAGATTAATTACACCAGTGTGCTCCCTGTTTCCCCAGGCCTAACATTATGTTGTAAATGCATAGTGTATAAGTCAATACTGCAAATAGCTCTTCTTTCATGAATTTATATGTTATTAAGTCCCCCCAGGGAGACGGGACTGGCGATCAATTTTGCCCAGGGTTCTGCTGTTCCTTGAAGTGAAAACAAATGCTGATCCATAATTGTCCTTTGCCTGCCCCCCCATGCTGCTTGTCTCCTCAAAGTTGTTCTAAGCCCTGGGGCTTGTTGGTGTGTGTTGGCTGACGGAGCTAAATGGAACAGGAGGCGTGGCGGTGTGTGAATCAGCCTCAGCAGAGAGGGTATTGACAGATATTGGGGTTACAGAACGGTGATGTGGATGCTGATACAGCAGCTCAAGCTTTTCAGGTCACACGGCTGCCAAACAGAAACAAGGACATGGGCTCTGATCGGCTACATCATGGCGAGATGGGCCGCAATGTATTCAGCACATTTTCTACCGCACTGGTGCCGAAACACAACAGTCATCAAGATGCAAATTCAGGTCAGGTCAGTCAGTCAGTCAGTCAGTCAGTGGGGAGATCCTTCAATCTACTGCGTCTGGGTGCTGTCAAACATCATCAAAATCTTCAGCACCTAAAAGGATATTTGTTTAACAAGTAGTTTGGAGCGCAGTATGAAAAGAAAAACTTGAAAATGTAACTTACACCATGAAGCTTCGCACCTTGGCTGTGAGTTTTTACACAACACCCACAAATGTCTGAATATTTTAGGAAAATGTTCAGATGTCACACTGCAAAAACAAATTTTTGTTTTGTGCAAGAGCACATTGCTGTTTGTCCAACCCCTGAAAACATCCATTATACATTTCCCTTGAGTGTATTCATGCAAATAGATAGTTTGGTTATTTTTCCCCAGTATTGCTATTTTCTTCTTCGCGTATCAGAATTCGTAGTAGAGGCCTGAGCACCCAGCCCTGTCATTAATGCATCTTTATGTCAGTGGTTAATAATTAGAAAGACATATAATCATACCCAAAGCTTTATAAAAGGAGACGTCAGTAGAAATGTACAGAAAAAGTCCCCCGTTGTTAAACAATGGTATAACTGTGAGCTGTGGACTCGATGGCTCTGTGTGAGTGGCAGTGAGTAACTCACCGAAGCACTTGCTCTGGTTGGTGGCCCGGTCCATGAAGACCTTGGAGGAGATGACGCTGCCGAAGGGCAGAAACATCTGCATGAGTTCATTGTCTCCAAACTCCTGTGGCAGGTGGTAGATGAACAGGTTACAACCCTCCGGACCTGAACACACAGAGAGAGAGAGAGAGAGAGAGAGAGAGAGAGTGAGAGTGAGAGAGAGAGGGAGAGAGGGAGGGTTGGTGGGCGAGGGATGGAGAGAGACAGCTGTGAATTTGTCACTTTGATCCATGCAGTCTCTCGTGTCGACTAAATTAAGATAAGTGGAAATAGATTTTCAGGACGTCTCTGACATTATCAGTGATAAAACATAAACTGTTCTTAAACACACAAAGATAAATGGAAAAAAATAGTTATTTTTGCATTGATTTGCTGATACTGAATGGATGAGAGAGTATTCAAATTTTCAATTTACATTTTAAAAAGCTTTTCTGATCAAAATATTAATATGAACGACGAAATCTAGATGACAGATCAAAGATTTTACAACTAGCACCTATCTGTAATTTGATCAATGTGCCTCAAAAGAAATCAAATTTAGAAAGTTTTAGGGACCACTTTCTATGATGCAAATGTCTGTAATGCATTGAAAACATATGTCGTCAACATACATGTGCTTATAGCACTGTATAGTATTGTTATACACACTCATACATATCATAATCAATCAATATAAATTATTTTAGAATGACTTATGAGCTCAAGTATCATAATTCTTCATAACTGCTTGTCACTCACTGACATTGTTTATGCAAGAATCCGTACATTATAATTCCCATAGTTGTAATACATTATGTTCTTTTTAGAATGCATTATAATCTCTGATATAATGTGTAACAATGTGATTATAATTTACTCTAAGTGATCATCATTTACTTGATGTCAAATCAAAATGCATTTTACAACATGTGGTGTGTTGTTGCATAGATTCAATGAAACTTTTCATTCTTAAAGGAAGAAATGACCACTTTGTGTAACTTCAATTCACATTATAATCCATTATAACTGATTATGAAAAACTATCATAATGTATTACAACTATAAAATACTTTATAATGTGTTATGATTACAGTTATAAAGCATATGAATATTTCTGTGTGCTCATAACTATAATTATACGGTGTTATAAGCAGCTTATAACTGCTTATAACTATGTTTATAATACATTGTACACAGGAGCGTCACAGAGAGTGTTACCGAGTTTACAAAGAAAGAAAAAAATGAATCCTGTCGTGTATATGATGTGTAAAACTGAGGGCTTGATTGCTTCATATTAGGTCTTCCATCATACTTTCACCGCCCGTCTGACACACTTTTCACTAATACTGGAAACACATCGACAAAGCCAACAACAACAAAAAGTGCTGTTACGTCAACCTGAATGTAAACCTGCAGTGAGTTTGAGTGGAGACCATCACATCACATTGTGAGTTACTTCATCTTCAAGTCAGCTGCCACAATGTTCCTGTAACCCCACTTTTTACATTTTCATTATTTGAATTGTTCCATCTGGGTTGCAGTGCCATTATTCTCACAGCTAGGGGTTTTATTATATAAGCTTTAATTATAACTTATGAAAAAAAAAAGAAAGCATGGGCCTATGTAGATTATATGCAGCCTATTTTTAAGATGTACAGAATAACACATTTGGTTTAACCTTGTTCTAGCATCCTCATACTTCATACATCTATTGCCTAAGATGAGATGTGGACTGCATTCAGTAATATTGTTCCACTTTACTTATCTATTACAGAGAATGAGATGTGTACCGAGTTAAAGTAATATTCTTCTCTCACCCTCAGCATCTTTATACAAGCATTACGCAGAAGGAGGTGTGTAAAGTAATATCAGGTTTCTCATGCTCATCTTCTTTATATGTCTATTACACGGGATGAGATGTGTGGAAGTGTAAAAAGTAATAATGTTCTCTCACCCTCACCTTCTCTCTGCTGCTGCTGCTGGATGACCTGGGGTGGTTGGGGCAGCGTCTGGCCAATGGGAGTCAGCGTGGTGGTCGGGTAGATCGCTGCAGAGAGGAAGAGAGAGGGGGGAGAGAAAGGAGGGAGAAAGAGTATGAGAGAGAGAGAGGGGGGGGGGGGGGGGAGTGAAAAACGGGGATCCCACAGAGAACGATGTCAAGGATGCTTAAGGTCGATCACACAAGCGTAACATGTGTAATCAAAGGCCCTCTGATGTTATGTTCTAAGGCGCCGTCCTTTGCTATCTGAACACATGCGGCCTCACGCTCACACAGCACTCACCCGGCAGCAATTGTCTCGAAGCTGCTACACATTTAGCATTTACGGCAGATTGTAAAATCAGAGGAAGGCATCTTAGGAAACAGAGCCGCCTCACACCTGTGTACTGCTGCACTCCGGTGAAGGCCTGCTGGAGGGTGTCGGCAGCGGTGGGGCTCTGGGAGTAGGGCGGCAGGCCGTTGGTGTACATGGCCTCCACCGCGGGGTGTCCGTTGGGCTGATGAGGGATGCCGGTGAATCCGTTGACGAGGGGCGTGACGAGGCTGGGCACGGAGGTGGTGATGTTGGCTGGTGGAGAACTGAGGCCTGCTGGGAAAAAAAAAAGAAAGGTTTACAGTTACTGGCTCTATCTACACATGATACTACTAAACAGTTGTAATGTATCAAGACGTTGGTGTACACATACAGACGCGCTTTTCCTACAGAGAGTAAACACACCGCAGAGCACAAGCAGATCCACACACACACACACACACACACACACACACACACACACACACACACCACTGCATCTCCTCTCTAATGCAAGGACACGGGTGCGACGTGAGTCTGTCACATATACGCTGTTTGTCGTGACACATCCTGCAGAATAGCTGGGAAGTCAACCTGTGAAAAATGAGCCTGTCCGTAGTGTTTGTGCGATACCCTGCTGGCTCCCACTGCTCAGGATGATGAAACCACTATGCAACTTCAGAGAGAGGGGGAAAAAAAGGAAAAGGATCTAGACTAAATAGAGGGAGATTACAGAGGGAGATGTGCTTGAACGAGCAAGGTAGCAAAAACAAAAAGATGCCTCTTACTTTTATTCATCACAAAGGAAAAAAAAGACAAAATAACAACAGTTGGCAGTTTGACAAATGGGTGGTTCATAACATATATGGTACACGCCTGAAAGGCAGCTGCAAGATGCTTCATGAGTGGAATTGAAATAGGATGCTCCCTGTCCTCTCACGTTCAATGCATTTTAAAAGGACCCTCCTTTGGAAAGTGTTTCCAATTATGCCAGGAACATCAAAGTACCCATTTTGAGCCGAATCTCACTGTGTGATGGTCTCTCTAAAAGGGCTGCTCCGTGGCAAAGCATCCAAGCTCGTTGAAGTACTGCTCCCCCGAGGACCACCTCTCAATCTGGAAGCCCTCTCCCTGATTGGACGGAAAGCCCAGGTTGTCACGGAAACCCTCCAGCAGGCCATATCCCCACAATCTGGTGCCTGAGTAAAGAACCCCCTGTGAGAGGTGGTCCATATAGGGTAAACAATCACATCCCGTATACACAAAGCGCATACGCTGAGATTTATGCTAATGCCACGGTAAATATGCTGTACATCACTCGCTCAAACCTCCCAACCCTGAGTAATATCATCTACATATCCATACGGAATTGCTCTTCTTCACCTACGATCTTTCCTCTCCCTGCCTCAGCACTTAAGTCATGAGGAGGCTGACAGGCAGCTGCAGTGACCAGGGGAATAGCCTGGGTCCAGTGAGAGCTGTTGTGTCTTTTGCGCTGGTTTCCTTTTTTTTTTTTAATTTTTTTTTTTTTTTTTTGAAGCCTCCCCCACGATTGCTTGTTTCCCGCGGAGCTGTGATGAATTAGACTGCAGCTTCAGCCCATTCTCCTACCAGGACCCAGGAGACTGCCGCTCCTATTCCGAGGGCTAGAGACAGCTAGTCTGCTCGGGCCACACACACTCTACTGTACCGCCAGATAATGCACCCTCTCCATCATCAGGCAAATTCATTTTCCAAGGCTTAGCCGTGCTGTGTGAGCGCGCGCGTCTACGTATGTGTAGCAGTTGTGGTGATAGCAGGAGCAGCGGCGTAGTGGTGGGTGGTTGTGTGGACCCCTTACATGCAATAACATAAATTCTCGGGTCAGCAGTAGGACATGACATCCGTGGTAAAGGAGAACACACGGCAAAACTAACATATTAAGGCCGCCGAATCCGGTCCGGCTATCATGCTGGAAATGTCACAGCAGGGAATAAGCATAAAGATCACAAGTGTAATAAAGACAGCATTGGTATTGTAGTGAGGCAAAGCTTAGAGACATTTATCCACAGTAGCTAAACTGAATGGTTTCAAATACTACAGCAGCTGGGTTATACATGTACTGGACCACAAAATGGGGCTATCATGTGAAGAAAAAAAGACAATAAGCAACACCACGGCCAATAAAACAACAATTACATGAGAAAGCCGTTCATGTAGCCGAGTCATCATCTTTATCCTCACTGTCACAATGACCCAAATATCCAACATGAGCACACCCGGAGAATGTGGAAGTCTTTCCTACTATCCTGAACTAGAAAATAACACGACATTTTCATTTTATACCTCAGTGGACATATAGTTCTTGCATTGTGGGAAATTGTATTCATAGTCTGCTTACAATGCACACACACACACACACACCAGAGTGTGCTGCGTGGATTGGCCTGTAATAATGACATGTTGTTCCCCACTCTGGCGTGGGTGAATACGAAGCTACGGCACAGCAAGATTACATATTCTATACAGCTAGCACTTAACAATCACTTCTCCACTCTTATTACCGCGAGAAAGAGGCCTGCACAGCAAAACAGTAGGAATATGTGTATGTCACATTTATTTATGTTATGGAAGCAGAATTACGTTCATATTCTCGGAGGCCGCTTCTTAGAGAAAACTGTTGATTTGCTCCTTCGCCACGATTGCTTCACGAGAGAAGTCTTCACATGCGACAGAAGCATTTATTATGCTAATTATGCATTCAAATCAATGAGCAATGCTATACCCATACTGGAGAGTGCAGTCATTACCAGCACAAGGACTGTCTTTGCGCTGGAGCAAGTAATAAGCACTCAAAACAGATGCTTTCATCTAACTGATTTAAAATGTGATGCATTTAGACTCGGAGAGAAAATGTCTGTCTGCTCCTTAAAGTGTGAATAATAACTCTGAATATGGGAAGGGCAGCGTTTTCAGAGGCCAGTCGGTACACCAAGAAAAACTATGTGACTTTGAATACCGCCTCTTAGATTAATATTAATATTTGTGAACTAAATGAGATGTGAATGCACCTTCACATTAATTTTTCATTGTCTAGTACACATTACATTACATTACAGTCATTTAGCAGACGCTTTTATCCAAAGCGACTTACAATAAGTGTATTCAACATAGATATTCAAGAGAACTACTCGTCACCAGAAGTCAGAAGTGCATCTCCTTCGTTAAACAAGCATCTAAGAGCATAAACCTATTTCAATGCACATCAAAATACAATTCTAAATTGAGGCACAGTGTGTTTTGCGGTCAAAGGGTGACTCTTATCATCATTGCCCTCGACAACTGATTGTAGGATGTATATAATCGTTCCACTGGAGGCCCTAACAACCTATTTTATCAATCAGATTCTTTCGATGAGTCAGCAGCTCCTACAAGAAAATACTATTTTCAGTTTTGGTTGGTATTTCACATCAAAGATCTGTATTTGTCTGGTGGGCTGCCAGGCGACTGTCAATCACCCCAACCCACTCAGTCCTGATGACGCAGATTAGATGATTAACGTTTTACTTTCATTTTTTGCTTATTTAATTATAAATATTCTGTGCAGTGAAGACATAATAAAGATTTAAAGTCAAGTTTTCAGAGACTTAAAGTTTTAATTAAACACTTGCTGCTCTCATAACAAAGACCAATGACGTGCACTATATCTGTACTCTGAAATTTGAGGGATCTCTGCTCGGGTAGAGTAGGATTACTACCTTAATTAATGTATTAACTTGTCCTCCTGTTTGTCATCTCAACTGATGACCTCGTTAATGTTTGCGAGAATGTGCTTGTATGCTGATGATGCAACTCTGTACAGCCATATAACGCCTCAACAAATGAATAAGTACCTGAGGAAGCGTGTCGAAACATCTTTAAACTACTGAAATACAAAGTCCATGACTCTGTAAAGGTCTGCAGTGTTCACACCAAATCAGGTGTTCCTCTTATTCATTAGTAGTGCGTCTAAGCCTCGGCGTCGGGTGATTCTGATTTCAACTGCTGCATTTTTTTGCGGTAAATAACATGTTGGATGCGTCTTGGAGGACAGGTGCACATATTGAGAGGGATCACTATGTCAAACAGCTCATGGTGGAAGTGCTCTTCATCAATGATGAAGCCATGCTCGAATTAAGCAGGGACGTTGTGGCACAGCCAGCTGCCTGTGAGTGGGCCGTCTCTGGCTGTGGAGCATCTGCAGTATATTTTGTGTAATATGTACTTGTGCGTGTACGTCTTGAGAGTGGAGCAGTACCATGCAACAGAACATTAAGAGAAACTTTGATTACACACTTCTCACATCCTAACAAAGCATCCTTGACATTATGTGTTCTTCACCACATACACCCAGCAGGATCCGCATCTCTCCCCTCCTCTCCTCCCTCACCCTCTTTATCTCCCCCTCTCTTTCTCTCTTGCTGTTACTCCATCTCTGCCTGCCTCTCTCTCTCTCTCCCTCCCTTGTTTTTGTTTAACTTTTATTTCTTCTGCAGTGCTCAGGGAGCGGCACCTGGTGAACATTATTTTCAAAAAGCATCATCATGCATCATTGTAAGGATACATGCTCTAATCAGCTGAGCCATCTGGCAAACGGCTTATGCACCATCAAGCTTAAATGCTTTGCATCTGTTGATCAAATGGATGTCTCATTGTTTTCAGAGTAGCACCCTTAACCTCTGAGCCTCTTTGTTGTACTTCGGCTCACTGTCACAAACAACATTTGTTTCATGTTGCAGAGGTTACACTGATCATTTACATACAAGATTATTGTCACACGTTTAGCTCAAGATCAGGCAGGATTTTCATCTGTTAAGCTACCATTGGAGCTTTATGTTAATGCAGAGCCGTGGAGGTAATTCACAAAGGCGACTAGGTGTCATTGGGCAATTTCTTTGGAAGGAAAGGGGATATTAACCTTTTCTTCCCTTTATACTTTGGTACAATTGACGCAGTTGCCGAATGTCAAAATGCATAGATTTGTTTTAAAATCTAATTTGGTTGATGATAAAACTTAATGCATAAATTACACCTCTGTCGAAGAAGGGAAGCGCTCTGCTCCCGGACTCTAAAACAGATTCAGATATTACAATGAATAATTCCACTGACTCGTGGCAGACATCATACAGTCTCTAGTGTCAGAGTCTCTCGGCCTACTTATACAGACAGCCTTTCCAGTAATGTTGTATTCCTTCAATGAACTCTAAATAAGTCATAGCCACAAGTGTGAAAAGGGAGAGAGAAAATAGCTGTGTATACCAAAGCAGCGAGCTACGCTACCACTCCTGCAGCTGCTGGCAGCCACGCTCAAATTAATGAATGAAGAAAGGGGGAAATAAAACATTTCATATTGATGACAGTCCTTGAGAATTGACAAAAGCCATGCTTTCTCTCAAGGACTAATAATATATTACATTCAATAATGAAAAGTAATCAGCCCGACAGTGGCTTACACAGAAGCATGTCCAAAAGCAGATGAATGGCATCACTTCACTTCACACATCACGTGTTCTCTTCCTTTCCTGTCTTTGCATCACAAGCTAAAACAGCAGTTTTTTTCCTTGCCCATGCCAAGTCGTTAGCTCCTGGCATTGCCAAATGATACAAAATTGCCTCACATTTCCCGACACAGAAGCAGTTCTGTTTAGCTTTTAAAGAGCATCTAACAAAATACGACAATATTTCCTTTAGACTAAGGCACAGATCTTGGTTTTCGAGAGGCTACAGTTCAAAAGAGATACAAGAACAGCACACGCAGTGCAAACAGACTGGAGGACAAAGAATCCAATGCACGCACACACACACACACACACACACACACACACACAGAGAGAGAGAGAGAGAGAGAGACAGGGTTCCTTGCAATACAGTTGCACAATCTTTCATCAGCACTATTGTGTTGCAAAATATAGGTATGCATGCAGAACACTAAGATCTGAATTGCCATACTGTCACTGCTTTAGCCATCAAAATAAGAGGCTTCTCAGCAAGACTGAGCTCCACTTTTAATCACCGTCTCTGATTGATTATGCCCGCCCAAAAGTGCACACTTTGCACTGAAAACATCACTGTGAATATTTGACAAATGGATCCCCTCTCTCGATGTATTGAACAACGTTGAAAATGATTGCGGATGTACTGTACACATGGAGTACAGCACGTGCCACCATCACGCTTTCTGTGCATGCGTTCACATGGCGTGAGGTGGACAAACGCCGGAATAAAAGGTTAATACGGGTCCCATTGATTTCCACACCTGGTCTGCTGTCTGTCCTGTTTATTGTAATTTAACTGACTGTTGTGAAGCAACTAAAGCAGAACAAAACAGGGTTTGTACAATAAAACTGTCCTTCCTTTGTGTCTGTGAATGAAGAAGTGAACACTATTCCAACTTAAGGGAACCACAGTGCAGAGAGAATTTGATGTAGTGCAGCAACTTCATAATAAGGATTCCTATGATGGCTTTAAAGATGATCTACAACAGGCCTCATTGCACAGATGGCGGTTCTCTCTCTCCTTCTCTCTCGCAGTGATTGGTTTAAAGTTACCAAAGTCATCACCCTAAAAACTCAATACTGCAGTGTTGACAAAGTAGTTGAGCGGAGCACAACAAAGACTTGGATACTGTATTATTTATTTCGGCTCGTGCTTTTGTTTAGTGGAGAATCTTGAAGTTTCCTCTGTCTCAAGGAAAACGAAGCACTGCTGAATAAGCAAATGTTATGCAGCGGGTAGGTATTTCAAAGTCCTTCCCTTTCCTCTGTAATGTATCTGCATAGGAGGTGTTTGTTATGGAAAACAAAACCAACTGCATGCAGATCATGCACAAGTGCTTCAAAGCACAAGGTCAAAATACCACGGGGAAATTAGCACGTTATCTTTAAACTTACTTATTGATATTCCCTTATTCTGCTGCGACTATCCGCAAATATGTTCTGCATTCACAAACAAAATAAAAATGCAAATCCAATTGACAGTATTTTTCATCTTTGTCTCTCTTTCTCTCCAGTGGAATCATTTTTGAATACCAGTAAATAGGCACCCTTCCTTTTGGCCTTGCTGCAGCTCTAGTTTTTATTCTCACACTGTGTGCACACACACACGCACGCACGCACACAATCTTAGACATGATCGAAAATAAAAGTTGACCGAGAAGAACCTCGTTGGCATGTACATATACACACCCACACAAAACCGGCACACACAAACAGTATGACATTAACTCAAGCATACAAGAGACCCTGCTCGTAGCATCACTTACCCACCCTTAATCCACAAACACACACACACACACACACACTTTTACTCACCCAGGGCTTGATGAAACTCACTCGACAGCGGGGTCATGGTGGTTTGTTGGAGGCTGTTGATGTTGAGCGCCCCCATCTGGTGGATCTGTGTGGCGGGGAAAGCCACGCTGGGCGTGAGGTAACCTCCGTGACTTGCTGCCATGATGGCTGCCTGCTGCTGCATGAGCTAAAGAAGAGGGACACGGAGAGATGGGTGGAGGAGAGGAGGGTTGGATGGGGTGTGAGCATGTGTGAGTGTGTGTGTGTGTGTGAGAGAGAGAGCAGGGGGGAGAACAGGGTGCGAGAGAGGTGAGGGGAGGACAGATGGTAATGAAAAATATAGTAAGTTGGGAAGGAGTGGGACAAAGACGGGAGAATGGAGCGAGAGAGGAGAGAGAAACGTAGCAGGGGTAGAACAGAGGGAGGGATGTATGTTGAGGTTGATGGATGGATAGTGCATGGGAAGTACAGAGAAAGTAGAGCGGAATAAAAGAAAGGGAAGAAAAAAGAAGCCTGTCAACCTATGTTTAGTGAATCTGTCTCTCCTCCCAGCAGGAAGCCTGTCACCAGCTGCAGAAACGATTTAATAGCTGTCTGTTGGGCTCATACAAATCAAGACATTGACATGTGGGCATTATCTCTGTGCTCAGGGAACAGGCAAAGTTTGCAGAAGAGTTGCGATGCTTTTTCCTTACTATTGTCAAACTTCACAACACTCTTGTTTGGCTGTATAGAAATGCCACGGCCATCTGATATTCCCCTCTGTTTTTCTCTGGCCTCATCTCTAGCTTTTCTGATGTATTTGTAATGATGGCTGCTTGGAGACTGACATTCATCCAGAGTTTAGAATCAGCTTTGTTTTATAATTCAGTCAGACACCACTGGGCCCGTCTCTGGGCTCGTTCTCGCCAAACATAGAAGGCACTTTTGGAGTTGGAACTTCAATAAATGACTTGCCAGTGAAGAGTTGTTTTAGCGACACACATTTGCAACAAACAACGCTGTGTACTTTGGTGAGTCCGGTTTGAGGTGTCCAAACCCTGAGTCATGAAAACAATATTTTCAAAGCAGGCGTAGCACTCAGATTCCAGACCATGTTAGTCATACAGCGTGTTAGTCAGACAATTGAAAAGTCAGTCGATTTTCACCCATCGGAGAGATAAAATCAATAGCCTTTCATTCACTCTGCATTTCTACTTAGCATGAAGTGAGAGCTGAAACTATTTTCCATCCAATGCTGCCCACAGAGTGTTTATTCATCCTCACATGCACCACTGCCCTGCACAGGGCTCACTCACACACACACACACACACGCACACAAAACATGCATGAAGGGCGATAGAGACTATTTTGAGTTTCTGCACTCGGCTTAAATTCTCCCCATGCAAACCACATGCTGAATGCCTAATTTAGAAGAAAATCCATCATTGTACAATGGCTTCTGCAGGTTGTGAGCCAGCGGGTTTGTGTAGGGAATCAACATGCTTTTGCTGGCTTTGTAGCCATGCAGACCTGTGTGGTATAGGGATACAAACACAGCTGGACCAACTTCTTACCCCCGTCTATGCATCTGTTTAATACTGCATGGCTGCTATGTGTCAGGGGAGCTGCTGATGGCTGTGGCCCGAGAATGACTTGTATAAGCAGAAATCAAACTCCTCTGCCACTGGCACTAATGACGATACTGTGAGACACTGGCGGTATAGAATGCCACTCTGCTTGTATTTGCATGGGGACCCTGCGACGCAAAAGCCAATTATTTTCCCTCAGTGCCCCTGTCAGGTAACCTGAAAGTGGCTGTCCCGCTGTAGAATGCCCGGCGCTGGCATCTCATCCATTAACCACATGCCTTGCCACTGCTATCTATTAACGCCTTTTGTCATTTGCATAATTCCAACGTGACAAATGGGAATCATCCATTCCTTTCCAAATAAGATGAATTGAGCCTTTAAGGGGGCAGAGCTGCAAAAGACAGCAAAGGAACAGGAAACCAAACAAAAGCAATGACGCAGAAACAAACAAAGAGGTCTAGAGGATCTGGGGCTCCCTTGCTTTGGCAACGCGGTCACTGCCCCCCTATTAGGATGTGAGCAGGGTTGGACTTCAGCTGGTATTACAGAATAAATACACTGTCACACCACTCACTGTTTTTTTGTGCGTCTTTTCTCTGGCTCTGCTCGCTGCTTTCAGCGAAGATGGGGACTTAGGGCTGATTCTAATAAGCTTGCAGCCTATTTGTTGATGGCCGTGTGGCCTTAGACAAGACCCAGGCCTGGATGGAGTCATAATGGAGTGGAAGTGAATGCTAGCGTCGCCAGAATACTAGCCTTCTCTGCCTATGCATGTTTTAGATAATGCAATCCTTAATGCCATCCGTCAGACTGTCATGGATAACAACTCTGGCATTCAATGACGCTTCGTTCCAAATTCAAGTTCAGCAAATTGGAAACCCAAGCATATAATTACGTCGGAATGCAGCAGTTAATACAAACTGGCTCTGAAAAAAAAAAAGATAAAGAGCAGAAAGCAGAGCAGTTATGTTGACAGATATTCAAAGTTCTTCCATTTTACTTTTCATGTGTATATGCTTTTTTTTCCTTCTTTTTTTGAAATTACAAAGGCATTATATTCAAAAGCCATTCCCGTTTCTTTATTTATGCGCTACCCAGCAGATAGAAAATGTCTCCGCAGGAGAATGAGCGGAACTGAGTCTTCATCTTCACAGACACAACCTTTTCTGCTTCCTCTTGAAAAGAAAGGAAGAGGGAAAAAAAGGCAGACAGAAACAAGGGGAACAAAAGAGAAGCACGTGAGATGAAAGGGAGCAAAGAAAGTTGCCCGGGCTCCAGCAGCATTCATTTAGTGTCAGACATCTGCTTTTTTATTGCAACCTGATGGCATTACTCTCCCCTGGTGCCAGCAGGCAATCACCTCTTTATCACATGGCAATTATCTCTATAGCGCTGCTCTGTGACTCGCTGACTCTCAGCACTGTCACATGTGACCCCTTATAGCCCAACCAGCCGGGGATGGAGGGGGGAGAGAGAAAGAGAGAGAGAGAGACAAAGGGATGCATAGAGGGAGAGAGAGAGAGAGGGTGAAAAAGGTTGATAAAATGAGAGAGAGAGGGAGACAGTAGGTCAATGAGGTGAACTAAAAGACTGAAGACAGAAGACCGAAGCTCAAGGGCCTCGTTTGTTAGCCCCATGCTGGCAGGCTGGATTTCAACAGAAAGATTTGAATAGGTTGTTTTTTCTCATCTGATGCACTTTGTTGTGTGTGTGTGTAGAGTCCTCACAAGTATAACACAGCTAAACCAGGTCACACACGAGCTGGTGTGTGTATGCGTGCAGGCGGCTTTACAGCACAGCTAAATGATGCAGTAATCTGTTACCATCATTTCTCATGTGTGCTGTGTTGCTGTTTGAATGGGAGTCCCTCCAACAGGGGGAGATGTTTCCTAATGTGAGTTTACAGTCATCATCCTCCCTCTCATCCGCCCACACATTGTCACTATCAGCGCCAAGTTAAACCATTTTCTCTCCTCTCATTTATCTATCTCACGCTCAGTCCAATGCATCTTTTAGGGAGGCAAGAGGGGCACGGTGCCGGAGGCGCCTTTAAATGTAAAACTCCTCTCTTGTCCCCCCGACACAGCGTGCAGTCCTCCACCTAAAGAGACCAAGGGAAGCTAAAATGGCTGTCTGCACAGAGAGACACAGCTTGAGTGAAAGTGACTTGAATCAAATCTAATCGTGTACAAATATGATGTTTGTGTCTTGAAGGAGAAATACAAGAGGTAATAAAAGCTGGTTTTTATTACTTGTACTCAGCGATTCATGGGAGGACTATTATCACTCACTACTAACGCCGGAATGAAAGAAGGAATCTCACTCGCTCGCTCTCCTTCCGCTTGTGTTTTATGAAATCACCTTTTTGCAAATAGGATGTATCCTGTCAGAGCACACCAGTATCTGTATCTATCGTGAAAATGGCACATTTCTCATTTTTGGCATATGTTGTCAGTGTTGTACCCCTCCAATTTGTGTTCAGAGCCCCCTCCTTCCCCTGGTTTGACTAAAATCCAATTTACTGGCTGTCAGCTCAACTCTATAATCCCATCCACTGCTGTAGTGGAGAGGTAGCTCTTTGAATTTGCCATTTACTGTACTCTCTGGTTATAGCTATATATACCATCTCACCCTACGTTTGTATTCTTTGCGGTCCCACCTCCTCTTCTCTTGGCCAGTGTATATGGAGAGTGGGCGAACATGTAGTGTGTCTTTGGAGATAAAGTCCTTTTTGTGTCACTGCAGGTTTTTCCGTCTTGGGGGAATATGTGCAGTTTATCTTGCAGTGAGGGAACATTTGTCGTATCACTTCAGCACATTCCTGGTGGCTACGGGGGAATCAAGGCTGCACATCATATACTGTACATGCAGCCAGCACCAATGACTGTAATGTAATCATAACCGCTGCACAAGCAGGACACCCACACTAAAGATAACTAGTATTTCCCTTTATTCCACAGTATTGCGTACCTAGCAGTCTGAACCGGTATTAAAACTCATTGGATAACCGGTGCATTGCTCCCTCCAGGTGGGGACGGAGTGCCTACCTCAAGCGAAGGAGTTCAAGTATCTCACTTGTTCACGAGTGAGGGTAAGATGGAGCGGGAGATCGACAGACGGATCGGTGCGGCTGCAGCAGTAAAGCAGGCGCTGCACCGGACCGTCTTGGTGAAGAGGGAAGAGGGTGAGCCGGAAGGCAAAGCTCTCAATTTACCACTCGGTCTACGTTCCTACCCTCACCTATGGTCACGAACTCTGGCTCGTGACCGAAAGGACAAGGTCGCGGCTACAAACGGCCGAAATGAGCTTCCTCCGTAGGGTGGCCGGGCTCAGCCTTAGAGATAGGGTAAGGAGCTCGGTCATCAGGAGGGAGCTTGGAGTAGAGCCGCTACTCCTTCGCGTCGAAAGGAGTCTGCTGAGGTGGTTCGGGCATCTAATTAGGATGCCTCCTGGACGCCTCCCACTGGAGGTTTTCCAGGCACGTCCAACTGGGAAGAGACCCCGGGGAAGACCCAGAACACGCTGGAGGGATTACATCTCCCAGCTGGCCTGGGAACGCCTCGGGATCCCCCAGAATGAGCTGGAACATGTTGCCGGTGAGAGGGAGGTCTGGGTCAGCCTGCTTGGCCTGCTGCCACCGTGACCCGACCCCGGATAAGCGGAGGAAAATGGATGGATGGATGGATGGATAAGTATTTAGCTAGATATGAAAACAAGAGCTGCGCTGATAATCCATTACTGCCTCTTGTGCACTCATTACTTTATCAAAAGTTTATCTCCAAGGTTGCTTTTCCTCAAAGGTTCTCCACCAACTTGCTTTGTTGTGCTAAGTTCATTATATGCAGGTACATGGCACCCACAGTCTGTGATTCACAACACCAACACAAGGAGAATCTCACCTTCACTAACATCATTCATGCTGTATAATCTTTGTGTCGAGACACCACATACGTGCAATTTCTCCTTTTAGATTTAATGGTAATTGATTCTCTCTAATGCTGGAGTATTATCCGCGCCCTTGTTACTTTTACTCGGAACTCAATTTCCTAGCATCATCCTGCTCTTTGTCATATTATATATGTGTATGAGAGAGAGAGAGAGAGAGAGAGAGAGAGAGAGAGAGAGAGAGAGAGAGAGAGAGGACAGCGAAAGAAAGAACATTTGCTGTGCGTGTGTACGCTCTTGTGTGCTTCTGTACGAGTCGACACGGGTCTCTGCCACAGTAAATACGAGTCATGGCCAACCTGAGCGTGGCACAATGGTCTCCCCGCAGACCACCACTGCCTCCACCACTGCCTCCACCACCCCTTAAACATTTGCATTTCTCCACATTTCCTGGGAAAGGGCTGCATTTCATGAATGGTAATGAAGGTGGGAGTTTTTACCGGGGAGAGCACAAGAGATGGCCTCGCAATTACTCTGGGACGGTCAATTTGCACATCTCACACTGGGTCCCATGGCTGTGATGTGAAAATGAGGGAAATGGGTAAGCCCCCCCAAGACCTGGCTAACGTCAACAATTAATCCTGGCATTTAGAAATAACAAAAAAAGATATAACTTTAACATTCAAATAAATGCAGGAAAACAAATGTGCGTTCCCCTCTTCTCTGTAAATAAATACTCAGCTGATGTTTATGTGTATTTATGCAGTGTGTTGTGACAGAGGACCAGCTTTTTATCTCTGGATGGCAAACTTTTCTTAAATTCATTTTAGCCTGCTTCAAGTAGGTTGTGTTTAAGTGCATGCGCATGTGTGTGCGCGCTCCCCCTCTGAGGGGAAGAGCAAAGTTTGTGTGCAGATAAGTTGCCCATGGAATATTCTGAGTCAACTGTGGCCCCTGAAGCCTTCACGGGCCCAGAGGGAGGGACAGGGGGAGGGAGAGGGGACGGGTAGGGAAGCAGCGTGATAGAAGGCGCGTGGTGAGAGGGGCTGTATAGGCTGTCTGAACTCATCAAAGAGCCGTGGGTCTGCTGTGTGTGTATGTGCCATGCCCTGAGGGGGTGACGGTGGGCGGGGGTAGGAGGGCAGAGGGAAGCTGATGAAGGGGTTGGAGGGTACAAGCTCACTAAATGTGTGAGTGCCTACGTGCTGTGGGTAGTGAAAGGCCGAGCGTGATGGCATAGCAGCTCTGCTTAAGAGGAGGAGTGGACGACGAAGCGGTGCCGATGGAAGTGATGACGGTTTGGTACTTCTCACGAACGACAATGTCTACCAAGGGTCAAAACACAGAACACAGAGAAAAAAGTATCTGAAAGTATCTGAAAAATGAAAAGTTATAAACTACAGATTTCAGTGGCGAGTTTTCTGTGTTAACTAGCAGAATGCGTTAGCACACCAGTAACTAGTGTTAGCGTCTCTATGCTACTGAAGGTATACTGACGGTATACACACGCTTCCTTTGCTTTTTGATGATTGTAACAGTGAATAAAGACCCACTAGGATTTACAGGAACAGTGTTGTTCCTTCATTTCATTGTCCTCTGTCTCAATCTCCTGGTGATGTGGTGGTTTACACTTAAACAGCTGCCTGCTACAGCCTGCTGAAAGTGACGCCACGAGAGCGGTGAGAGTGAACCAAAACCGTTAAGTTAAGGCCATAAAACCAAAACCGTGTGCAGAAAGATGCCGAGAGCTGAGGGGAGCTGCAGAGTCCAGTGATTATTCTCTGTGGGTTCATCACTACGAGCAACACCTTTCACAAATGCAAAGACAATGAATCCGTTGTTAATATAACAAAAAATGTATATTATCTGATCATGATTATAGCAGATTGAAGGACTGTATCGCAACAATCGAACAGATTCAGATGCATGTAGTCATCCAGTACGTATGCTAGAATTTAATGCGTTTCCAAATGAGTTGTGTGTGCAAACGTGTCTTGTCCAACTCACCGCATGTGCGTAAGAACTATAGGTGCTGAAGGGAAGAGCGATGGCTGGGTTGAAGATGCCAAACTGCCCAACCATCTGCTGCATGCGTCTGATGGTGCGCTCCTTGTCAGTGTCGGCAAACTTGACCACCAAGCTGGAGGACGCACCCTGAGGGGGCAGAGAGAACTGAAAATCAGAAGATAAACAACATGGAGACTTAACCCTGATTTAAGTCATGGAGAGAGGCAACAGATAATCAACAATAAAGCAAGAAGTATCAGTCTGTCCTACGCATGTCTCTAGAGCTGCTGGTCAGATCTACTTCACACTTGGCGGCTGCATTGCTGGAAACACAATGGAGTGCATTGTGGAATTTAGTGCAATTTGGAGGAGCTACACATTCAGTATCAATAAGTTCACTTTACAACCAAACTCTTCTTCACTTCCCTGGAGCCAACACAAGCAGGTCGCCAAGTGGAAGCAGAATCAAACTAGAGTGTATTTCACCAGTGTGACTGTGAGTTGAGTGTGTTTTTTTCCTGTGAGATAGACTGTATTTCCTCAGTGTATGACTTGAGTCTAACTTAAAATTTCACTGTCAACAAAATACCTCTGCTAGTTACATCCATTCTCTACTTTAGTTTAAACCAAGAGACTAATATGCCTCGTTGGAAATGACCTCCGCTGAGTGTATGTCACCGGTGTTTCTGACAGCAATCAACCCGAGACTACGTAGTGATTTGGGCAAATGCTGTTTTGTTTTACTCTTCAGGCTTTCTCTAACTGGGAATGTTGGTATTGGCAGTGGTAGAAGATATAAAAACATTTCTTTCTGAAGTAAAACTATTAACTAATAATAGTAGAACCAATAATGGCAGGTGTATTGCTCTCGACCCAAGCGAGTTGTTGTATGAGCGGTTCTGGAGAAAGCTAAAAGCAGCAACCCCACAGGCGAAGCATTCGGCCGCTTCTGAACAGGCACTAGTGCACTGAATTTCAAATGTAGCACGTTTAATGCTAACACTTGCTCAGTCAGTCTACGGTGGTCTTACAGCATCTCATCCTCTATGCCCAAAAGGCTTTGACCCACTTCAGGAATCATTTGCATGTGTGACTGTAAGGATTTACCACGTATTTAGAGACAGCCACTAACAAAAGGCTTAAAAATACGAGAGCATGAAGAATGCTGTTGGTTATTATTTTTGATTTCTTAGTGTGCCGTGTTCATTAACAACAACAACAACAACAACAACAACCGGTGTTAACATCAATATCTAGTGTGCTCCTCTAATTGCATGTCAAGAGTTTTTTTTTTTTTTGGCATTCTAGATGCAACATCATTGCACATTTGTACTATTGCAGAGAATCGTGCCTTCTTATTGTGTGGCTGGCATACATAAACATCAGCAGATATGTGGAGAAGGAAATATTCAACTTATTGAGTGAACAGCTCTGGAGGCAGACGTGTCGACGGAAACCTTCCGTTTTTTTCAATCAGTGTTTAACATGTACAAAGTCACTCGGGGCAGAGCAGCCTCGCTGTGCATGACATAAATACTTTATATTTCCCCCCAGCTTCTCCCCCTCCGGTATAGTACATATATGTAACCTTGGTGCTCCTCCCCACAGATAAGGTTAAAAGATCTGCAATGTACAATGATTTGAAATAAGAGCTGCAATTGGTGGTTCCTATTGACCTTGGTGTAAGTGTTCTTCAAAGAAAATGTTGCAATTTTGTCTCACTCCTCTGTTTATCCTCCCTCTTCCTTTCTGTGGCTCTGGCTAGCCATCCCCTTATCAACACTATTACCCTCTTTCTGCAGCCCAATAATGAAACAGCAGGTGGGTCTGCCACACACCCTTCATTAAGAATCTTCAAATGATTTAGCACTACAGTTGACCTTTTGTGTGCTCCGCCTCCTCTTCCCTCTGCGCCCCCAAACCGGCCAATCGATCCGCATAAAAGGCCGAAATATTACTCTGATCTGACAGTGTAGAAAGGTTGTGTGTCAGTCACGATAAGAGGCCCCCTGAAATTGATGCAAGATTGTCAATAACAGTGGTGAATGGTTGCCTGGATTCAAGGTTGGGGGTTGGGGCATTTGAAGGGCTAAAGGAGATCTGGGTTAAACCTGGCAGGAGGTTGTGTTGGACTGTTGTTATAAATGGCAGCTGTAATGCTAGCAATATTACTACAACATGATTCATTCTTATGTTTCTATTTTTCCATTACTTGCATAGTCCCCTGACTGAGGTCTCAGGAGTCCTGCTAATAAAGACATCGACAGAGATGCTCAAAGACAGGCACTGGACCTTTCGACTGTAGCGTATAGATTTTCTCCTCTCTTTCTCCCCTCTTTCCTCAATATTCCCCCAAGCCCTCTCCTCCTGGCTTGCTCGCTGGTTGAATCACAGGTTTGATGGATTGTAGGTGAGAAGCCAGTTGGTTAGTTGGATGCCTGACTAAATGGCTGATTGCCTAGTTAGTTGAGTGATTGACTCACTGGCAGGCTGGTTGCCTAGATGGTTGGCTAACTGTCTGACAGACTAATTGTCAGACTGTCAAGCCGGCTGACATCTGTACTCTGCCCAGCTGAGTGACTAATTGTTTTGCTTCTTGCTGTGAGAGGCCATCATGTCGCACCGGAACAACACTTTTGCTGCTCATTGAGAGCTCCGTGTGAGTCTACAATAACAGCTACAAGAGATAGAACATAATGTATTAGAGATGCACTTTCTGTGTCATCACTTTCTTAAAGCCATGTTCACGCTACACAACTTTGAAAGTTGTCAGATCGCTGCAGTGTTCACACGTAAGTCGTCGTGGTTTTCACACTACATGACCGACTGGCGACAGGGCGTCACACAAAGAAAGACCCTCGATCCAACATCCTAGGTGCAACAACTTTAGTCCGTGTTGCAAATGCAACACACATACAGTAAAGTTCTCACTGTTCCAGGCGACCCCTCCGCCAGGTTTTGCCCGAACCCGTGTCTCGCGCTCTCATTGGCTGTAGCTCTCTGACAGATCCAGATATACTGTATTTAAGCCTGCTAGGTATCTGGAATGTGTCTGCAATGCACCGGCAAGTACAGAGCCAACGCAGATTTGCCTCTGATCTAGGGTTTAGTCCAGGAGCTATAAAAATCTATTGCCGGGCGTAAAATCAGGGCTAAAGTCTGGTAGTGTGAACTAGGCATAAGCAGCATCTCATATATTAAGACTATGCTCAGTCACTTCAAGGTTAACTTTGGCACGGTTACAGGTTTAGGGTTTGTCTGTTGTGTCTGACCAGCTTTTTTTTTACTGTCTGCATCATTAACTTTATTATGAGGTTTAACTTTGAGAGGATCCAGGACAGGGCAGCGCAGGACCGGAATACAGAAGAGATGTGCTAGTACATACAAATAAGTCCTTCTCACGGTTAAAAAGAAGAAGCTATTAAAGGGCCACCTAGTTTGGTAATGAGAGCTGTGTGTTCCTGCTCTGCTTCTCTCATTTTTAGGTGATTTTATAATCTGAGGTTGAGAACTGAAGTCATCCCCTTTTTTAAAGAAAATGAGACTGGACTGTGCCTGCGTGAATGTTAGAAACATGGTTTATTGTGAATTGGCATGTCTAGTTGTACAAGAGCCTTGTGCCATTCTCTTTCATACTCTTGCATGTATGTCCCACTCTCTGCAAAGCTGTTTTTTTTTCCAATGAGGTCTATACACTAACTTTGCCCTCCCACTGGTTCTCCTAAGGACCCCTGAATCAAATGGCTTATCGGCTAAGCATCCAATGCAACATTTGTTTATCTCCCAGGTTTTCCCAGTTAGGCCTGTCAGGATATCAGTGAGTAGAATCTGAAGTGTGAAGTAAAAGTCTCATTAAATTTTTAAGCTGCCATGTGTGAGCAGAATCCCCCTGCCAGGCGGCTTCCAGCTGCCTAGAGAGCCACTGAAGGAAGGGGAGTTAAACAGGGAGCATAAAAAAAGGCATGAGAGAGATGCAGAACCAAAAGGAAAGTCTGCCTCTTTACAGTTCCTTCCCATAGCTGAGGCTTGGTGTCGGTTCCGAGCTGCACGCCCAGCTATACATCCCACACTTCTTTAACTTTGAACATATGCCGGCTCGCATTAGTGCGGAGTGAAGCCAGAAGGAAGACTGATCCTGTATTGGTATGTAGCTGCATTAGCTTCAAGTGTCACATGGCCTTAATGGTTTACCCAGTCTGCGTGAGTTGGTTAAACTATGATTCAGACGCTGCGAGCACAAAAACTAAAATTAAGAAATACGTCCCGTCTTCCTGATAACACGATTTCAGCATCCTTACAACAGACTCTTTTTCATCAGCGCCTGCAAGATAAAAAAAACTGCCTTTTTTAATCATAATGTATTGCCACTAAAGCTGCCTGTTTCTCCACAACAAATGGCATCATATGCCTCAGCCGCCTTCACAATTTGAAAATTATGAGTTATCTATTTTGCCCCCCCCACTGAGTTCTATATCGATGCTGAATATACAGTTCGGTGCTACAGTATACAGCTTATAATTTATGCCCCTTGCATGATGCTGTTCTACGCTTATTGTGGTAATAATGCATTACCACCCATGGAATCATAAATACACATCCTCTTTGAGCTTGGCTAGTAAAATAATGGATGACTGTAATCTATTAGGTTATTAGAATGTAAATTGCCTGGGTAGAAATACTTGTGGGGGAGATGACAGATCGTAAACAATCAACGTTAACTTAAAAATATAAAGGCAGAACATCGTTTAATGAGTAGCAGCACAAAGATCTATCATCCTTGTGAAATACTGACATTAAAGCTCTGCATCTCATTGAATGCACAATGAGATCATTACAGTTTTCTGACATAAAACCAGCATTTATGTACTGCAGGATCTGCTGTTTTTTTTAATTTTTTTGCCTTTCCACATTTAATTTTATCCGTATTTAGGGCAGTGACATATTGATCTGTACATTAAAACACTGTGTCTTGTTGAGTATTAAATCCTGGCACTTGCATGTGTATGTGTTCTCTGTCTGAAGTAATGGAGAAGATCCAGCAGCTGGGGAATCACATTTGGATGCTTTTTCTTCCCTTTTTTTTTTTTTTTACGTTCTTTGCTCTCACTCATCCAGCGCTCTCTTTTATGCAAACTTTACCTCATTTGCTTTCCTTTGTTCTGCTCTTATCCTTCCATCATCCTGCTCCAGTATTTCTGTGTTAGTCCCTGTGTCAGCTGAAACTGCCTCAAACCCAGGCTCAGCTAATGTGGATACAGAGTGAAAAAACAGCCTGGCCCTGCGGACCTGACCCGCACCCCCCCTCCCCGTCTTGGTGTAACTCTGTCCCGGGACTTACTTCCTACACGGCCCTGCTGAATCCCGGCAATTTGCTTTACAGCTCTAGCATTTAAATGTTTAATTGAGCCACTCTCATCCAGAAGTGTGTGTGTGTGTGTGAAAGCTGAACAAGGCTGAGAAATAGTGGCGGTGTGTATGGGAGGTGGATGTATGCACGCTTGAAATATGACGGGTTAGGGTGTGATGGAGATCCACCCAAGGTCTTACATGTGACCTGCCGATGCTCTCTTATAATTCATACACTTACACCACCTTGCTATCATCCTTCACACAGTGACATTATGTCGTAGTTAGCTATTGGCAGATCATTTTTCATTTAGATACGTTCACGGAAATATGTACGCTCCCACACATTTCTACGTAAAGTATATTTTTGCATGCACCGTGTGTCATTTTATCTACATATATATACTCTCCACACACGTGCACGCACTCCATGTGGAATTTCTCTTTCCTTCCCTACTCACACACACAATACATACAAAATGCCCACTCCCCCTCTACATGAATAACACAAATGTATTCAGCTGAAGTCCTCCGAGCTGGAAAATAAGATCAGTCAGGGAGCCTTTGACCCTAGCCTGTGGCTGTACGAGCCTGTGACAGTGAAACAGAGAGCGGAGCAATATAGAAAAAGTATGTGTGCGCTCGCATGAAAATGCTTGAGCCACAAAGTGCTTCCGTTTGTACATGTTTATGTATGCACATGTGTGTGCGTGTGGGTGCACACCCATAAACTCTAAGAAGCCAGTGCTCATGCTTTGGGGGATTGGCAGTCGATCTATCAAACTGCTGTAGTTAGTCGCAGTGTTAATATTCAGTGCACTCTTAACACCCAGCTAGCAACGCTATTGGCCGGGCTTTATTCACGGTCATCTCTCTGAGGCTCAAAAGCCACGACCTTGTGTGTTGTCAATGATATTTTTTATTTTCTTCTATTTCTTTATTCATGCATTCATTTTTCAACGCATCCAAAAGTGTGTATGAAAGAATATGTATTCATTCATTCCGTCAATGTACTTGACTTCTTTTTGCAGCTGCAGCTCAACCGCGATCAACATCAACTCAAATGGATAGAGGATGCACGGTCCAAGGTGTTCTCCGGGATCTTTGCTACATTGATGGACACTTTGCTCTGAATAGCAGCGTCCTACTGAGGCGTAATGGTCCACCGGTGGTCCGCTAATCTCAGCGAGGCAGGCACACTGTGTCCTCTCCTCCAGCAGCCACAGGATATGAGATGCTGATCAGATTTCTATAATCAATTTACCAGTGCAGGAGGTATAAATCCTGTCCATTCACTCATTCTCCCTCGGCCCCCCCTCTCTCTCTTTCTCTCTGTCTCTCACTCCCTCTCCAACTCTAACTCCCCTCCCTTCTGCCCCCTGCTTATAGTTAGATGAATAATTCAGCAGCCAATGTGGTGAAAGGTGGAGTAAACAAGTCTATTGCCTAATATCCCGAGAGGCTGCCAAAGAGAGACGAGTGAGGGCAGAGAGCTAGCACAGATAGGGGGATGGAGCAACAGAGAGAGGAGGGTATCTATGGAGAGGGGACACCCAGAGTCTTTCCTCATGACCTGCAGTCATTTGCACTTAGATTGACTCGGAGGTTGCGCCAAAAATGGCACAGCTGGCTTCTAGTGCTTCTCTCTGCTCTCCTCTCTTGAGCCACACATTGGCAACCATTAATAATGAAATCACACAGTGAAACACAACATCGGTGAGATAAGGTGGGAGAGAGTTCAGGGTCCCTGCTTCTCTGGGGCGAGAGTTCCCGGAAAACAAAAAACGAGTATAAAAGCAGAGTCTAGTGTACAATGTGGGACGTGACTCTCTGTCCGCTTCCCGGATGTCACGGAGAATGACTCTATTCAGCTTTGGAGTGCAGAGTAAGTAGCTTTGTATTTTGACACCATCAGGTATACAGCGAGCTTGTCTAAACACGAGACACATACAAATGAGCGGTACAGCTTCTGTGCTCATAGTAAATCCAATACAGAGAGAATTCAGAGGACATGGTGTGCTTACATAACGAGCAAATGTAATCTCACACTGGAGTTATATTCACTGATTATGCAAGCAGAACTACTGATTGATGACTCGCCCAAAATTCAATTATCATTCTAAACAGTTTTATCTGGGAATTAGATTTGGATTTTTTTTTTTTCTTCTTGTAAAAAGTACCGTGTTAATTAAAGAGACAGAAGGCTATTTCTGACTGTGTCTGTTTTTAAAGCTGGGGTATTTATGAGGATGGTTGCACTTTCTATAAATTGATTAAAACTTTACAGTTGGGGGGGGGGGGTTTAAAACTACGAGTTTACAGCTCTTAACTGGGAGAGGTGGACTGCACACAGCTGTTGTGATTGGTGCGCCGGGTGTACGTGTTGTGCATGTGATGGATGTTGCTGGTGTGTGTGTGTGTGTGTGTGTGTGTGTGTGTGTGTGTGTTTCTCTGTTCATTATATGTGAGGGAGAGAGCTGTACTCACTGGCATGGTCTGGCTGCCGTGGAGGGCGCTGATTGCAGACTGAGCCTCGGTGTGTGTGGAGAACTTGACAAAGGCGCAACCTGGAAGAGAGGAGATGCACATCACACACACACGCAGGTACACACACACACACACACACACACACACAGTATATATGCAGTAAATGCATTCAATCGAGCGAGTTTAAAAGCCTACGGTATATTAATAAAGGATGTTGAATTGTATTTGACACCACAGAAATCACTGTGCAGCGAGAGGCTCTCATTGCACAGCAGGCTGCCCCACTCCGGGCATTAGGCAGGCAGACAAGCAGGCAGAAGCTGCAGGCTAAAGATTGCACTGATGAAGCAGAAAAGCATTCTATTTAGCACCACATGCCTGTCTGTGCATATTAAATACTAGCTAAACTGGCTAAACTTATAACGTTTTTTTGAATAGAAAACCGCTCCATTTGAGTAGTTTATTGTTCACACAACAGGAGGTTCTGATCAATATCTGTGAGTACGGCGATGTCTGTCCAAAGGCCAGGAGACCACAGAACCAACCCTCTCAGCTCTGATGTCCTTGAGGAATATTGTGACGCGTAGACAAAGTGAAAGCAAGTTGAAGAGGGCTTTTGTGGGCTCACAAAGTGAGCTGTTGCACATTAATTATTCAACTATTAAACTGAAGTATGGCCTCCTTTGTAGAACTGGAGAACTTGATATAAAGCCATACGCTTTGTCTCCTCTAGAAATGCCTCCTAAACTAAACTCATGAACATATTGCAATCCGCAAGACTAGTATAGAGTCTCTTTGTACCCATGGCCAGAATATTGATGATATGTGTGTGCAGGTTATATTACACAGTGTTCAATCCACTACTCTCGCATGTCTCTGGAGGGCAAAGGAAACCCAAACACAGAAACATGCGAGGACTGAATCTGGGTCTGTTGCAGTGAGGCAGCAGTACTAACCACTGGGCTACCATCCCCTCTTATAATTATACCCTATTTCACCTAATTTCATTTCATTTGAAGTTTCTTTTCTACTCTTATTTAATCTTTCATACTTTACTCTTCTTATCATCTCTACTGCCTGACCTCGCCGCCCTGCCATTCTTCCCCTCTTAATGGGCTTACCCCTGTGGACACCAGCCAATCAAGATGCCCATTCAGCTGTCGAACCACTACCCTCTGTTGAGATATGGATAGAAAAGAGCTGGAGCTCGGCATGACCTGTACAAGGACTTTGCTACGGTGGTATTAACTATACGCCAGTATAATTATGAATTTAACTCTTTGTATACTTAGCAAGCTGCAGTGTGCATTGCCTCTGCTTTATCTTTTTAGGAGCGTTATTATGTGATCGAGACTGTGGAACCGTGCAATAGCGAGCGAGCAAAGTATTCTGCTATCAAACTTACAGTAATCATATTGTTGCACATCATTCTGCACAAACAGGATTTTGTGATGACTAAGTGGGAAGCAGATTTGTTTTTGCCAGCAGGGGTTGGGGACGTTTTGTTTGTTTGTGTTTTTTATCAGGAAATAATAATAAAATAAGTAATATCACACACTAATACAGACACTCCTGATAGCTTATGTTTTGATAATGCATCATGATTCATTTGTTTATTGTATAAATAATGTGAGTCTGCAAAGTAACTAGTAACTCAATATTTGCCTTTAATGGAGTGGAGTCAAAATATAAAGTAGCATAAAATGGAAATACGGAAGTAAAGTACGAGTACATACAAACTATTCTTAAGAACAGTACTGGAGTGAATGTACAATAGTTTCCTGAAGCGCTGACTGGGGAATGGGCTTTAGGGAAGAACCACTCGCTTTGCTCTTTGCTGTGTGTCAGAGGGAATCGATGTCTCCAAAAGTTGTTGGCTGCTTTAACAAAGCCTGAAAGATATCAACACTACAGTACCTGAGTTACAGTAACAACCTGCAGCACATCCATTGGACAAACTGTTTCAGATTAAAACTCCGAAAAAAGAACGAGAACTGGTGAAGAATAGAAACCGTGACTTTGTAATGTGGAGGTGTTCTTTCTGAAACAACACATATGCTGAGGAACAGTTTGTGATGGCAAAGTCAGCATTTAAATAACACCAGCGTTGTTTTAATCGTTGCTGCATTGGGTGGGATTACAACTATTCATAACATGGGGCGTCATGTTTTGCTGGTGGCGATCGTATAACTACAGAGTCTTGGTTTTGTATCTGGCCTTTGGAATTTACCACAGATTATGTATTTATATATATATATATATATATATAAAACTCTGTCTCTCTTAAAAGAACATCGCCTACTTTTTCAGTATCATAATTAAATAATTATATTTTTGAGGGTTTGCTGCCTCAAAGAAATTAATACATTCTTTACAAACTGCACAAAAGGAGGAAGGCAAACCAACGAATTCTCTCATGGTTCCTAATTATGATAAATCAAACAGCATGTGACACATCAGGCTTAACTTTTTTGCAGCCGACTAGCACATCAAACAGTGCGGCGAAGAAATGTTTGCAATTATGTGTCATTTGACCTAAATCTGGTGCATATGTCACATACACTTTACATACCCGAGCTGACGTAGACGCTCACACACACTGTCACTTCTCTGTCAGTGACCTAAATAATGCTGACAACTGTATCACGGCTCCTACCTTTGCTGTTTCCGTCAGGACCTCTTAGGACCGTGCACTCCTCAATGACTCCGTAGGGTTCGAAGAGGCGGTAAACATCCTCCTCGGTCTGTTGTTTGTTCAGCATCCCGACAAACAACTTCCTGTCTTCTGGAACAAACAACGAGACAAAAGGTTAAATTATAACTTTGACCTCAATTACTAAACCAATTGGAGAACATACAGTCGTGAAACTTCATCATTGTTTGGTGGAACAGGGTTGGATTCTGAAGAAGTCTCTTTTTCCACGGCAGCAAACACACACGTATACGTCCACAGAGCCGTGGTTTGTTTAGAGTACGTCGGGCTCGAGTCACATTGTATTATCTATTTTCCAAGACTGATCATTTTAATCTGTAGTATAACTGGGTTTAGTCCCATATGTGCACATATACTGTGGCTGCGGGGGGTAAGTGAGTGGTCAGGGGCTGGGGGGGAGAGACATGGGCAGACTAATGAAGAGGTTTCTCTCTCTCTCTCTCACACACACACACACACACACACACACACACACACACACACACACGCACACACACACACACACACACACAGGGCCCAAGACAATGAGCAAGTCTTTGGTCCTTTAAAAGCACCAGAGGCTCCAGGCAGCTCCAACCTCCTAAACATCACACTGTGTTACTGGCTGGCAACTCACGCTCTCTCTCTCTCTCCCCCTCTTAGTCTCTCTCTCTCTCCCCCTCTCTCTTTTCTGCTTTTCTTTTTCTCTCGCTGATTCCACATTTTTCATTCTTTTTCAACTGCCTCCCCCTTTCCTCTCTTTATCTCTCTCTTACTCTACTAATTGCTGCTGATCCAGTGTTTTTTGTGTAGCCAGAGAAATATTTCAGTATGCTCTTCAGTGAACAATGGCGTGTCTCTCCTGCGAGCAACGAAGGCCGGGAGACATGCCATGAATAACGCTGACTTTTCAATAGATAGCCTGTATGCTATTGAGTCCTGTTAAATGCTGTGGGATCTGATCTTTACCTTGACCTGACACACTGTGTTTACTGATGTACTCTGGCCGTGTATGATTAATGCTACAGTGCAGCGAGTCTCTGCTGGCAGAAGAAGCACTAAAAACGTTCCCTTTATACAGATTGTTTCTCCAACTCTGACCTGTGAAGTCACGGCGGAGCAACTGAGTGAGAGACGGGACTAGCGGCCGCCACTGTGAAGCGGCCGAGAGCGGCATACAATTGCCGCCAGAGGTATCGCACAGTGTCAGAGTGACCTGTGACGACTACCGAGTGCACCGCGTTGTTGTCGTTCCCTGACCCAGACACGAGCCGATACCCGCATTCCTGCGACGGGCACGGGCCGCGAGCACGTGCAGACAGGGCGCCCGGCTAGGGTTTCAGCACCGCCAATGATGCACCTTTAAAATAATCACCCGTGTCAGTGCATTGTCTAGGGAGGGGCGTCCCTGGTGCTGGCTCCTTATTGCAAGTGGCAGGATCAGAGGCTATGTATCAAAACGGAAGTGATGCAATGTGACATCTGTCAGGGAGGATTGGAGAGCATTTATCTGCAAAAGAAAAAAAAAAGGAAAGCCCTGAACTGGAAAATGAAAGGCCAAGATGGTCCTTCCTTTTGCTAGAGGGAGAATATAAATTTTGAGGGGAGATGAGTCAAGGAGAAGAGGGGGGGGGCTGGACTGCACAAATTTCCCTCAATACAGCCAGACCACATCTCATATACACTCCAGTACACAGAGCCACGCACAGAAGCACCCATGCGACCGACCGCAGTCACCCTTTGGGTTCCTCTTGCCGCTACTTTAGCTTTAACTCCCGTCTTCAAGTAGATGATGGGGGATCAGACAAGTTTTGAATTAATGCACGACCCTATCAATTTCATATGAGCTGCACTCTGACGATCAAACTACGAACAGCTCTTGGCATGTCTCAATAAAATACAACTCCACATCCATCCTCCTCTCAAGGATTTCAGACTGGCAACGTCACCTCCAGCTGAATGGAATAATATTTATATGAATCTAAGTATAATGGGATCATGTGGCGCTATATATCACATGCCTGAGTATTGGTTCACAGTGAGCTACACAAAAGCCTCACACACTCGAGTTATGTTCAGTCTGCTGGCTTTTTGCATCACGTCTGAAAAAAAAGATGCTAATCTGAACACACAGGCAGGAGTTGCAATGTAAGAAAGGTGTGACTGTATATGAATCTTATATTTACAACAGCAGCATTTAGCACGGGTTCATCATCTGTGGCTCAGAGAGAGAGAGAGAGAGAGAGATGGAGTGCATGTTCTGCGAAGTGAGCGTGCTTTGAAAACCAGCTAACAGCGCATGAAAACAGATCATCTAGGAGATCTGTTCCACCGTCTAGGATTCTGCTGTGGCTGCTCTGAACTAAAACGCTACCTTGGGAATTCAGGTGTTGTGTTCATCGCCGATGGAAACATTATCTCATTTATCTACAACAGCGCAGCACAGACAGTGTGCACACAGACACAAAGAGAGTGCAAAACACCCACAGTCATTTCCGCATATCTGAATGGGGAGGAATGAAAAGTTAAAAAGGAGCGAAAGAGGGAGAGAGAAATTCCATACGCAAACAGGATACCCTCTCACACTCTGACACAGAGGATTACAGATGACAGATCCTCCACCACGACCACACACATAGAAGACACACAGCGAGCCGCACGCCCCACTGTAAACTATCACATACAAAACTAACAGCGTCGCCGCCTCAGCCAGTTTGATAACTGCTTTTGTTGCTAACTTCCATCCATCGGCCGCTGATACACAAATCTCTCACCACCTCAGCTTTCACCATTTTATCTGATTCATGTTTTCAGTCTGCAGGCGTCTGACGGAACAGATACGCTCCTATTTCAATCAATCCAGCCGTCTGCACAGCATTTTGGTAAAGATGGTGTCTGTGCACTGGGCTCCGAGCGCTGCCGAAATGTGGGTGACCTACACTCGGTACTGTGCCTGAACACACCGTGTGTCAACCGCAGCTATACTGCCGCCGCTCTGCTTTACATGTGTATTCATGGTGTGACTGCACCGCTGCTGCTAGCTGGTGCTATCGCTGGCCTAGTGGCCACAGCTGCATTACAAGCTGCAACGGGCCACATAATCCTGCCTCATCTGTTTGTCATTCTACTGAAATGCAAAGCTGGGCGTATATGATATACGTCTGAACTGAAGAAAAAAAGAAACAAGTGGTGTCTCTCACTGTGGTTGGCCTACACAGATTCTGAAATCCTCACGTATCTTTTTGGCCCCTCTGTTCTAAGAACATCAACCTCGTGTAGTTCCTACCAACACCTGGACTTCTCTAAGCTCAGCTGTATTTAGTTCAGCTCAAGAGCATTTATCTTCGATCTGCAGTTCAATCTCACATCAGTGTTTCTCTATACCTTCATGTCTATGCCTCATCGATGCAGCACAGTACATGCAGGATAATATCTGTCTAACCAGTGACATATTAAAGATGTATGGGAACTGACCTCCTAACTTGAAGAAGTCATTTGCTCACTCAGGGATCTACAATCTGTGTAGCATTGGTTCTTTGTTTTTTTTGTTTCAAAACCAAATCGGGAAAACAAAAAAACGAAGCCATTTTTTTTGTTTTTCTGTTTTTAAATAAGAACGGAAAGACCGGAACGAGACATGGCGATATTCTGCTGATTCTGCACGGTGGATGATATTGAGAGTAAGAAGGATTTTAAAATGCATAAAATGTACAGAAGGAAGGATGGAGGTAGGATCATTTCTCATTGATCAGCTGGGGGGGGGGCACGGATCAAGCTCCAGTGTTTCCCAATAATTGGGCCCGCTACAGTTTCATAATGATCTGACAATTTGATCTTTCCAAGACGATCGGCACGAGGTGACTCGCGCCTCTGGCCGTCTGGAGGAAGGCTGCTGCAAAGCTCACCGATCTGAAAGAGGAAATGAGCCCGTAAAGGGAAAGCAGGCGCCAGGAGAGGTCTCACTAAGGGATCCTCCCACACCGAGAGGCCATCCCTGCTCACCCGCCAAGTTGAGGCTGCATGGTGTCAGACTCCACCCGTTGAGAGGTGTAAAAATATCGTCTGTTCATTATGAAACTGTAGTGGCTGTGATTAATGGGAAAAGCTGGAGCCTGGTCCGTGCCTCAGCTGATCAAAGGTAGAGCGAGTTGTCTATTAATTGGGAGTCGCATGTCTAAGTGTCCTTAGGCAAGATACTTAACCCCAAATTGCTCCCGAAGGCTGTGCCATCGGTGTCAGCACTTTCGCCACTGTTTGCATGGTTAGCGCTGTTACCGCCGTTATCAATGAGCCACCAGCTCGCCGTCGACATGTTGAGAGGCAATCAAAGTCTCGGATTTATTTAAGCCAAAGTCAGCTGTGTTCTACATAATTAATAGGAAGTAAAGAATATTTCTGATTGAATCGTGTTTTTCACTCGAAAATTTGAGCTGAATTAAAGTCACATGCAACGCTGAAGCATTCTGTGAAGCTGGGAGGTTAGAACATGATTAGCAGCAAACGCTGTTTTGGATCTCTCTTTTCTCTTTTGCAGCCTTCAAAAAGCGGCTGAGTCGTCTTTCTGTTCCAGCTCCTCACCTGTGGTAAATGGCTTCAACTGTATAGATGAATGCGAAACAAGACAAGAAATTATGAGTTGTTTTTTTCTTGTTTACAGAGCCTGGTGAGCATGAATAGCATCCTAAATTAGAGCGCTATAGCGTTAGCAGTGAAATGTCATCGCCTAAACAATGCAGGGGTCTAATCACCGGCAAGTTAACTGTGAAAACTGTGCAGCACGCTGGCATTAAGATGCATTTACAGCTCACTGTGGCAGAGTACTGTATGCAACTTCATTGCGACACACCATTTCCATCCTGAAACTCACCCCCCATCATGTTTAATTTACTCTGAGTTACTAAACAGATGCTTGTTTGGAATAAATGCATTGGAAATTAAACTCTGGAATAATGAAATGGCAGTGTGCTGCCTGGTTACACATACTGAAGATTACCGGGTCCATTTGGGCCCTTTCTAATCAATTTAAGCTGTTTGGTACGTGGCCTTGAGAGAAGCCTTTGAGTCACTGCGCAAGAGCAACTTATATCGGTAAT